TATTTATTTTTTTTTGTTTTAATTCATACTGTTTCTTTCTTTTTTTTTTTTTCTTTTTTTTTTGTAAATCAAAAGAACATAATTCTTAGGCGTTTTTTTGTTTGTTTTGTTATGTCTTTGTCAGCTTTTCTTTGGTGTGTAGAAGACGAGAGAGAAGACACTGCGGTGGTTTTTGCTGTCTGGTTTTTGTTCATATCAATTTCCATTTATGATTGGCGGCATTCAGAAAGGAAATGAATGGAGTCTTGACGTCTTACATTTCTGCAGCTGCTAATATCGCAGTGTGCAATGAGGGAAATTTTGCCACAACATAGGTCTTGGCCGACAATTTTTGTTTTAGATTGCATTGCTGAGGGATCTGTAACATACACAGCCTAGCTGTAGCACACTGGGCAAAGGTTTGATTGTTCCCTTCCGAAAGGCTGCGCCTGGTGAATTTAGGGCTTGATTCGTTTGTCTCGCAAGGAAATGTAGAGTGTAGGTCATTTGGAAAACAGGTCTAGCAGCTGTTCAATTGTAGAATTGGACTTGAGAAAAAAAAAAAAAAAAAAACCCCCAAAAAACCAGGAGATATAATTCACTGATCAAAATTAATACATTTTATTTTTGTAATCTAAACAAATTTTTAATTCCGTCAAGATGAATTCTTTAATGCGGCTTGGTGTGATTATTCTGTTATGTATTTTACTTTGAGTTCGGATTTGGTTTCAGTTATCTTTTTTTACATGACTGGCCAATAAGATTATACACATCCCTAATAACACTGGTTTTACTTATCCGCTAGAGTTTGCCAGTGCACAAAACGACTATTTTTAGAAATATCCTTCCGTCTTTAAGTCTCTCATTATCTCACCAAATCTTAAAAATAGAGCAATTTCTGCCATCGAATTCCAAATCTAGACTCAAAAATAGGCATGCAAAAAAACACAAAAGGGAGAGAGAAAGAAGATTTCAAAAAATAGCCTGGACTACATTCGTATACAATCAATCATTCGCATGAAATGTTTAGTAGAGCGAGTCCTGTATCAAATTTTTTGTTTACATCATTCAATAGAGTTACTTCCCTTAGACCGTACATGGCGTAGACTTGATTGTCCAAAAAGCACTAAAATGGTTCTGGTCATTAATCTCGAATATCAAACAAAACAAATAGAGTAGAAATAACAAAATGGCGGGTTTTTGTCAGAAGTTTCAACTTTACATCAGTTTCAAGAGGATAGGACTAAATCAGACAACTGATATGGCAATCAGGGGATTGGATCACATTCTTTCAAGTTTCTCCGAGGTCGGCAAACTGATTTTAAACCTTGACTTGACTTTCTTTAGCCTGAATTATGAATAAAAAATCTTGAGGCGGTGCACTTTGTAATCAAATTTTAAATAACCAAAGTCAACTTTATTTTGTTAAAGTAAAAACGTTGTCAATCGTTTATAAATGAATATATTTGTATAATTTTTGGTCAGGATATTCCAGATACATTACAGAGCTTAGTGAAACAATAGAATAATTTTAAGCTTCCATACAAAAGTAGTAAACAAATTATTTTTGCAGTGTTTGATTTGGTACATTATAACTTAAGCTATTTCTATTAATATTTTCATAATAATAATCAATTTTATGTTTTTATCTCTTTATATCGGAGGTTCCCAACCTTCTTCATGTAGCGATTCCATTCCAGAAACCAGAGACCCTTCAAATTAAAAAATAAAGATTAACTCATTTTTATTGTAATACATGTTATCATTTTTATTACATTAATGTTCAATGTGATGGTTACACCTGTTTCTCAGAGACAAGTGTTACAATCAGTCCCGTCGCCAGAAATGAATTGTTTCCGGGGGATGGTGACGATGGTGTAGTTCGGCACTGCAAAAAGTCAAAGTTGCGAAACAATGAGTCTAAAATTTTTGGAAACAAGAACCTTGGAGGGTTGCATTTCTGACAATTCTGAGGTGTCCGCAACCCCAAGAAATGTGCTTAGCCACTCAAGTTGCAGTGTCTGACTTAAAGGGAAATGAATGGAGTTTTACTCTCCATTTTGTTGTTGGGCTAATGATGATAGACTATGCCATGCAGTATGAGATGGGGAAATTTTAATCAAATGTTTTAATTTTATTCTCTGATGAAGTGAAATGAAAGGAGTGTTATGTCTTACTTTCTTCACCCCAGGATAATAAAGACTGGCAATGCTATGCAGTGAGCAATGAGGCATCAGTCTGTCTCTTTTCAATTCCAACTCTTTATGATCCTATTGTTATGTATCTAACCTGCGCAGACTGTAGCACCGGGGGGCCTCGGTTTATTGTCCCTTCCGAACGACTAGACGCTTTTTCTTTGTCAGCCCCTTTTACCTACATCCCTGACAGAGGGAACTGTCAAAAATACAAAGTTTTGATAAAAGCAATAATTCAGACAGAACAAAATAAATAATATGATTAAAGAGTTTTTAAAAGGTTTTCTATAACTATGTGTATTGGGGACACTGATAGCACCAATTTGTCTGTGGCTCTGGCAATTTCACTAAAATATAGTGTTTCATGACCTCACTGATCACAAAATATGCTTCGCATCAAACACTTAGTTTTAGTGGAATTGCAGGAACCACAGATGTCTGATTGATGGACGTAATACAATAATAAAACATTTTCACTGTTAAAATAGTGCTCAATACATCAATTGTAGAGAGATATAGAAATACCACTGTTAAAATAGTGCTTAATACATCAATTGTAGAGCAATATAGAAATACCACTGTTAAAATAGTACTCAATACATCAATTGTAGAGCGATATAGAAATACCACTGTTAAAATAATGCTCAATACATCAATTGTAGAGTGATATAGAAATACCACTGTTAAAATAATGCTCAATACATCAATTGTAGAGTGTTATAGAAATACCACTGTTAAAATAGTACTCAATACATCAATTATAGAGTGATATAGAAATACCACTGTTAAAAAAGTGCTCAATACATCAATTGTAGAGCGATATAGAAGTATAACTGTTAAAATAGTGCTCAATACATCAATTGTATAGAAATACAGAAGCGATATAGAAATTTACAACTGAAAAATATATTATGTACAATATTGCAAGTTTATGTGTATAAAAATCTTAAAAATAACATCTTAGAATAAATTTCTTCTGTATAATATTGACTGATTGCTTTTAACATTGAATAGTAAATATCATCTGTTCAATCACAGTACTTAAAGCTATAGGACCATGTATATAAAATGTTATAACAGATAATAACTGGAAAAATGAGAACTAAATTTTCTACATGCTTTATGCCCTAGTAAAGGCCAAGGTGAAGAAATTCTGCTAAGGTATTATCATTTGAAGAAAATTCAGGACATGGTGTAGTAGATCGGTGAAGATTAAACCTAGAATAATTAACAATGCTGAAAACAATGGGCATCATATGAGCAAGACACATTGGTCTTTAAAAATAAATGTTCTCTTGATAATCAAAATGTTATTAATTGATAACATATTTTTCTGCGTCCCATCTGAAGCATTTAATTCCATTTTACAGGATAATTGTTTAACAAGTCTATTCTTTTTAAATCTTTCAAATCACCCAATAACTCTTTGACAGTGTAGTTACAAAAGTCTGCAGTTAACATTAACTCTTTAAACTCTGAACCACGATGTTTGTAATGAAATTGTGAAATTCTTTCAAATGTCCAACCATGTCGGGATGCAATACATTTCCAATTTTTATCATAACAAAGAAGGAGTTGATCGTTTAAATAATCCAAAGTTTCTTGAAAACAATGTTTCACTAGTTTACTGCCTGGAAAGAAAAATAAAATCTCAGCTTAAAATACAGTGGCAGTGCTAGTCGGGATACAGGGGTGGTACAGTCGGGGTACAGTCAGGGTACAGCCTGGGTACAGTCAGGGGTGCAGTTGGGGTACAGTCAGGGGTGCAGTCGGGGTACATGGGGGATACAGTTGGGGTACAGGGGAGGTACAGTTGGGGTACTGGGGCAATACAGTTTCGTGTCTGAGAAATTTCAAAATGAGATTTTTAAACTTTTTTTGGCCCAGCAAAATAATAAATACCCAATAAACATTATAGGTAAAGTCGACTCTCTGAAAGGGATGTGGAGATGAAAAAGCTAAATGCTCATTAAACAGAATGTACCAAATCAATTCAAGTTTTCAAAAATGTCTTGGTGAAACCCTATCAAAGCCTACATGGAAGCTTTAAACTAAGGCGCTTTCCCATTTGGTATCTCAACCTGAAAGTGGTTGTCTACTATTGTGTAAGTTTGCCCCTTATTTATACTGACAGTACCAGGAGGTTTGTTCCACCACTCATAAGGTGTCTGTGGTCATGAACTTAGCAGTGAAGACAAAATATGGTGAAATAATGAACTTCTAAATCCATGACAACAATCCAACTCATTATTGACTGAGTTATTCCACTGTCCTAGCAGACGACAATCCAACTCACTACTGACTGAGTTATTCCACTGTCCTAGCAGACGACAATCCAACTCACTACAGACTGAGTTATTCCACTGTCATAGCAGACACAGTCCAACTTACTACAGACTGAGCTATTCCACTGTCCTAGCAGACGACAATCTCACTTGCTACTGACTGACCTATTCCACTGTCCTATAGCAGACGACAATCCAACTCACTACTGACTGAGCTATTCCACTGTCCTAGCAGACAACAATCCAACTCACTACTGACTAAGCTATTCCACTGTCCTAGCAGACGACAATCCAACTCACTACTGACTGAGCTATTCTACTGTCCTAGCAGACGACACTCCAACTCACTACAGACTGAGTTATTCCACTGTCATAGCAGACACAGTCCAACTTACTACAGACTGAGCTATTCCACTGTCCTATAGCAGACGACAATCTAACTTGCTAATGACTGACCTATTCCACCGTCAGAAAAAAACAGTGTTCCAACTCAGTGTTAAAAGGAAGTATTGCATTTACAAAGTCGAAAATAAATTTAGCCAGACAGGGGCAGGAATACACATAGTTACCGGTATTTTCTGTGTTATTTGGAGGAACTGAAACTGGAATATTCTGAGTTACACCATTTATACCTTTAATATCATTTATACAATTTCTTTCTGGTGGACGGAAATTTTGTTTGTTGTCTGAAATAAATATACCCAATAAACATTATTAGCTATGTGAACTCTCTGAGAAATACTGAGTAGACAAACTTAAATAACCTATAAACATTATAGGTTATGTGAACTCTCTGAAAGAGATGTTAAGATGACAAATATAAATACCATATAAATATTACTAGCTATGTGGACTCTATCATTTTCACTGCCAGTATGTGATTAATATATGTAAGCTTATATTAAAAATTAGAAATTAAAACAGATATTTCTATACCCTCTATGATTAATGTTGAACTATTTTAACAGCATTTTTTTTAATAAAGTTAAAGTTATACAGTTTTATTTTTATTCACACCCACAAAAAAGAAATTGATTTACTAGTACCCTGATTTGGGACATGATGTGATGGGGGAAGGTTTAAGCCATTCATTTTCTCCAAATTTAATACCAATTTCACCCGAGTTTGATCTTCGTTTTCATCTAAATTTCTTGTCATGGACTGGCAATTATTCTGAATTGATGCATCAGATGTTAAGTTATTTTCTGGAGTGCCCTGTACGTTCACTTGGGGGTTCCCTTTTACAGGAGGTTGGTACCGTGCATCAGGAATATCATCAGCTCTCATGTTACCTTCAGGACTGTTCTGTCTATTTACAGAAGGTTCGTACCATGCATCAGGCCTATTTTCAGCTCTTACATTTTCATCTGGCGTCTGTCTGTAGTCGTTTTGACAGCTGTCATTATCACATTTTGCTACCTCCAACCAACTGTTCTGTTTGTTTTCAGCTCCTTTTCCAACATGGCCTTCATCGTCATCAGCTAAAAAAAGATAGGAACAAATTTTTTAAGAAAATCAGAAGTTTGCTTGACGCATCCACATGTGGAGACATTTTGAATTCTGCCTTGACTGTAAGTTGTCCCCCCATTGAGTCAGTCTGCCCCCTATTTGTACCCCCATTCTCAGGAGGCTGGCGGCGCCACTGATAATTCGATTTCATTATACTGTCGGCTATCTCTATCTGTATAGTTGTTACAAAGGTCTTTTTTCTAAGCAGCAGAAATTGTTTGTGAAGTGTAGTCTGATACTCACATGACGTACATCATAGTTAAAATGGAAGTTATAATTAGACGACAGTAATATCACAGTATAAATATTATATGTTTTATTAAATAGAAGTATATAAGCTTTAGTACAAAATGGTGGTAACAACAACTGACGTGATTTATCATGAGATAGGTATGAAGTGGACTGACTGATTAAAGGGAGGTAACATGTTCCATAAGACATAAGGCTACAGATCAATAAGACATATCATGACAATGGGGTTCTTTTATAATTCATTATACTCACCCCCAATATCTGAGAGAGTAACCCAACCATCTAGTCTGTCCATTGCTTCAAAAATAAAAATAGAAATAGAGTTTTATATCCTACTGTTTTATATCTTATTGAACTAATGAAATGAAATAGAGTTTTATATCCTACTGTTCTGTATCTTATTGAACTAATGAAATGAAATGTAGTTTTATATCCTACTGTTCTGTATCTTATTGAACTAATGAAATCAAATAGAGTTTTATATCCTACTGTTCTGTATCTTATTGGACTAATGAAATGAAATATAGTTTTATATCCTACTGTTCTATATCTTATTGGACTAATGAAATGAAATAGAGTTTTATATCCTACTGTTCTGTATCTTATTGGACTAATGAAATGAAATATAGTTTTATATCCTACTGTTTTATATCTTATTGAACTAATGAAATAGAGTTTTATATCCTACTGTTTTATATCTTATTGAACTAATGAAATGAAATAGAGTTTTATATCCTACTGTTTTATATCTTATTGAACTAATGAAATGAAATAGAGTTTTTATATTCTACTGTTCTGTATCTTATTGAACTAATGAAATGAAATGTAGTTTTATATCCTACTGTTCTGTATCTTATTGAACTAATGAAATGAAATAGAGATAGGTATGAAGTGGACTGACTGATTAAAGGGAGGTAACATGTTCCATAAGACGTAAGGCTACAGATCAATAAGACATATCATGACAATGGGGGTCTTTTATAATTCATTATACTCACCCCCAATATCTGAGAGAGTAACCCAACCATCTAGTCTGTCCATTGCTTCAAAAATAAAAATAGAAATAGAGTTTTATATCCTACTGTTTTATATCTTATTGAACTAATGAAATGAAATAGAGTTTTATATCCTACTGTTCTGTATCTTATTGAACTAATGAAATGAAATGTAGTTTTATATCCTACTGTTCTGTATCTTATTGAACTAATGAAATGAAATAGAGTTTTATATCCTACTGTTCTGTATCTTATTGGACTAATGAAATGAAATAGAGTTTTATATCCTACTGTTTTATATCTTATTGAACTAATGAAATGAAATGTAGTTTTATATCCTACTGTTCTGTATCTTATTGGACTAATGAAATGAAATAGAGTTTTATATCCTACTGTTCTGTATCTTATTGAACTAATGAAATGAAATAGAGTTTTATATTTCACTGTTCTGTATCTTATTGGACTAATGAAATAAAATGAAGTTTTATATCCTACTGTTCTGTATCTTATTGAACTAATGAAATGAAATAGAGTTTTATATCCTTCTGTATCTTATTGAACTAATGAAATGAAATAGAGTTTTATATCCTACTGTTCTGTATCTTATTGGACTAATGAAATGGAATAGAGTTTTATACCCTACTGTTCTGTATCTTATTGGACTAATGAAATGAAATGGAGTTTTATATCCTACTGTTCTGTATCTTATTAAGCTAATGAAATGAAATAGAGTTTTATATCCTACTGTTCTGTATCTTATTGAACTAATGAAATGAAATAGAGTTTTATATCCTTCTGTATCTTATTGAACTAATGAAATGAAATAGAGTTTTATATCCTACTGTTCTGTATCTTATTGGACTAATGAAATGAAATGGAGTTTTATATCCTACTGTTCTGTATCTTATTGGACTAATGAAATGAAATAGAGTTTTATACCCTACTGTTCTGTATCTTATTGGACTAATGAAATGAAATAGAGTTTTATATCCTTCTGTATCTTATTAGACTAATGAAATGAAATGGAGTTTTATACCCTACTGTTCTGTATCTTATTGAGCTAATGATTTGAAATTAATTCTGTAATTCAATTTTGTCCACTCATTCCACTGAAATAATGAAGAATGAAATATTCACCATGGCATAGATCATTTCTCTGTGTACCTTGGTCTGGAATTGAAGCATAATTTTCACTTTGTGTCTGAAAATGTAAAAAAATCCACATAAATCAGAAATTGTCTTGAGGTGCATACATGAGAACAAGTATCACTTGTCAATCTTCAGAAAGAACGCAGACAGCCCCAAAAATCAGGCCTTAACCAGTTTCTTTGACTTGATATTCAGATGGTATATCAGGACTGGGTTTAAGGTTCTTTTGGATAATTTTCACCACGACAACAGCAAAATTGGCAAAACTTTTGGTATTTATATAAAGCTGGACAATTAATGTGTCAATCAAGATATTACCAGATATTCTACAATGTCTCTTATATCTCACGATATCACAATACAGTCGAGCTGGGCAAGCTGAACTTACAGAATTGTACTAAACGGTGAAAAACATAACCCTTGACTGTATTCTGGTACAGAGACATCGCAGAATATTAGACAATATCTGGACATTGTGAGAATGAATCTGTACATACTTGAGCAAAACGTGGTTGGAATTGTCTTTCTGTAAATCCAGTTGGTCTGTTAGACATGATGGTCAGGTTTGAAAGCGGTTGTTTAAATATCAGTGTCCACCAGATCTATCAGTATCATGAGATTAGAAGCCGTGTTGACATTAACTGAAACCTAAAGATCAAAATATCATGAATTTCTCACAAACAGGACACACTGTGTCAGAATGAGCAACAAAATTCAATAACATATTCCAAGTGGAAGTCTTTAGCCTAATGATAACAGAATTATCATGAAAATTGAAGAAATAGGCCTTAAAGGCTTCTTCAAATTCACCACAACTACGAGTACAACTGACAGTGACAGTGAGACTGTCAAAACAAAACAAGGAAATATTTATTATTTTTCTTTTTTGTCCTTTTCCACTTCAAAGGCTTTTTTTCTTTTGTCGTCTGCCTAGTTAATACGTTTTTAGATACATCAAACCTGGTGCCATCGTGTAGAAAAGTTAAAAAGCGTAAAATCTACTTCACTTCTCTGGCTTTCTGTATTTTACTCTCGGTGATTTCTAAAAATAAAACGGGGATTTCCACATAAAAAATGAGATGTCCGAGTTGTCTCTATAACTCCCACACCAGAGGGCGCTGAATTCCAACATGTCAGCCTCCTTCAAATGTCTTTTGGTATTTTTTGGTAAGTTACATAAACATGAGGAAAAGTTTGTGTTTAAGATCGATTTCTTTATTGAATCAGTCAGTGTGTCGTATTCCGTTTCTTCGGAAGTGACTGATGATCTGATCACATTTTGATCTTCATGTACTAAAAAGTCATGAAATGCCATGACAACAAATTGACATATTTAACTTGATAATTTAGTTTACTTCTACTTGAACAACGGTCAGTAGGCCCACCATAACGCATTGAAGCCTACCCCCTGTCTTAAAAGAAAACAAAACAAACAACAAACTAAATATCTACCCTACCATTTTATCAAGCCATGGTGGAGGTGTTTTTCACAGGAGTAGAATCAACCACATTTCAAATTTCTTACAATGTCAAGCTATAACGAACTGGGGAAGTTTGTGGATTGTTTGTGTTAAGGTGAAATGAGAATATAACTCACAGAAAGCACGGGCCTAGGTCCGAAGCAAGGACTATTCATTTACAAGTGCTGGTTAGCTTAGTAATGTTTTGTTAGTTTTAACAATGGTACCAACTTGTCTATAATAAAGAAAAAGCTAAAAGTTCCTTTACCAACTTGGCCTATAAGAGAAGTATTACTTGCATATCACTGCCTTTGTATTACTTTGTAATGTTCTTTAACCCACTGGGCCTATATAAAAAATAAAAAAGGGGGGGGGGGGGGACTTAGAAGTATAAAAAATGACTTGTTGGATGTTTAACTTATACATGTATTTCTCAGGTGGTTGAAATGATATCAACATGAGATTTTCAGTATGTCACGTACCAAACAGATTGAACAGCCTAGTCTCTGTGTGTTTGCATTCACTAAGAAGGTAAGAGATATCAGTTACACTGTGTCCTATCTTAGTCTCAGAAACGGTAATTTCTTTAGCTTAGCTTATAAGTAAAAGTGTTTACAGCTCACCATCGAAATTCCTAATCTGAGTCTCAGACTCTGAGATATTTTTGAAGGAATTATTTTGATTTTTCTAGTACTTCTGAAGACTATTTACATATATTTAAGAATCAAACCAACCCCCCAAAAGGCACAACTGTCTCTCTAAATTAAGGATACACAGGGAAGTTATGGCCAACTAGTCTTAGCTTTTAATTCAATTATTATCTAACGCCAGGAGGTTACATTTTATATCTAGTTTTAGATTAGCGTATTTACAATAGAAATCAATATGGAAAAAACGTGTAAACAGTAGGTAAAAAGTTGATACAATTAGAGTAAATGTAGCTCTAATTATTCGACTTTTTACCTACTGTTTACGTGTTATCGTGTGATTTATTTTTACTTTATTATAAGTCAACTCGTCATTTTATTTTTAAAATGTAGTTAGGTCTGACAGGCCAATATCATTGATATATTGTAACTAAAACATTATTAACTGCCTGCTAGCTATAATTTATATTTTATCTGATCTATTCTAGCTACAGTTTTAAAACCTTATCTCATTATGAAGTGTTAGGGGTGAGCTCAAAAGCCACCAGGAAAGAAATTAAGGCAGCTTTTATAGAAAAATCAAAAAAGGTTGGTTTTCTGAAAACATATATTTAAGCAATAAACTGTCACCCTATGGCGGTTATGGTCGTATATCAGGACAAAGGTTGGTTAAGAAATTGAATTAATGCGTGTTAGCATGTTTATGACTAATTTTCCAGTAAACTTTTGTCTAATGTACATTAGTCCAAAATGATAAAAATTATTAGCTAATGTGAATATTAATGTATATTTAAAGACCCAAATCATGTCCTAAAAAGTTTTTATGAATGAAGCTTTTCAGATAGCTGCATGAAAATTTGTGACAAAAACAAATTTTACTCTTTTTTGTCCCTTTTTTGAAACAGTGTTAGAAGTTAACACCATAGGACATCCTAGCGCTGAGATTGTTTTGAGAGTACATGGCCATAAGACAGAGTTGTTATTTTTTTTCTTTCGTTCCAGCTTCACCCAGATAGAAATGTTAACGACCCTAAAACACATGATAAATTTATTCAGTTAAACGAAGCCTACACGACTCTCAGTGATCCTGGTTTGAAGAGTCTGTATGATGCCAGAAAGGGATTTATGGGCCGATCGTCTTACACCAATCATCGCTCTCCTCCCTACAACAGTCGACCAAATCCCGTTAGTCAAGAATACTACATGTACGAGTATAACAGGTAGGATAATATCAAATATAAATCATTATTTCCTCTTGTGGTAGCTTAAAGACTTGTCATGAAACGAAGGTGAAAGTGGTTGTAAAAACGTTTTATAAAAGAACTTAACGAAAGCACAGACTGAGCAGGAAATTCAGCATCAATTACTGTTTAAAATTAACCCATTTGACAATGGAAAAGCTGTCAGTCAGTAGCGAATTGGATTGTTGTGTTGTTGTCTCCTAGGCGAAAAGCCACTGCTTCCAAAAGTCCACCGGTTGTCAGTTTCGAACCCCAATCACCAGCTAGCTGTATCTCCTACATTAGAATAAATAAAAGAATCTAGTTAAACAGTGTACTCTGTGATATCCGACATCTGAGTATTCCAACATTCAGCGTAATCTGACATATTTTGTTGGTGTATTTTCAAGTATTATGAATTATGACACTATTTAATTGATCATCTCATTGAACATTCTTAAGTCACGTCATTTTTATTAATTCAGATCAAAGCATTGTGAAATGTTAAATTTTCTTTAGAAATAGAACATCATATGAAGATCAACAGAAAGAAGAGGAAGGTATTAGAAAAACTGGAGTCAGGATATTTGTGGCTTTGATTGGTGTTTATGTTATGTTTTTTATTTTTGAAAGGTTAGTTTATAACAACAAACATACATACTATCAGTATCTCTCCTATAGCTACCTTGTATCTTCACAATGATCCTCATCTTATACCTTGAAAAAAACACTCAGTTGATTCCATGAATCCTGAACCTGCAGAAGTTCTGCAGCAGAAATCCCCAATCGAGCAGCTTCTATGACTTCTATTAAATACTGATGTAAAACTCCTTCTATTTCAGAATATTTAAAAAAGCGAATACTATAGATGTTGACTATACGAACTGGATACAAAATCACCATGAAGCCAAAGCATTTCGAGATAAGATGTACGTCCAGAGAATTCTAACAGAGTAAGTACGGTAATATAAGGAGACGCTCAATTGGCCAGTTCTTAACAGGTTCGATCTGTTCCAATTCTGGCCTGAATCGAAACTAGATTATCATTTTCAAAATATTTCAATTCCATTCTCTGGCAATTTGAATTACATGTGGACTGTGTTCTGAACTCTGTACCAACTTGTTTTATTGAATTCCCAGTCGATTCCATGAACCTCTAACATGAACCTCTAACATGTACCTCTAACATGAACCTCTAACATGAACCTCTAACTTGAATCCCTAACCAATCAAGCAGCCCCTATATAAAGTAACATTTTGTATTTACTGGAAATTTCAAATATGCCAACAATTCTGGGATATCGTGCCTGATTTTGGTTTTGTTCTGCAATCTTATTTGTTATTAAAGTTATATATTTGATAAAGATAGTCTGATAAACTGCTACCTTGACTAAATGTTCCTCCCTACCAATGCTTACTGATTAAATTTGTGCTTTTTTCAGTTACTTAGATACATTAGACCACAACACTCAACAGACTTTACGATCTTTCCCTCGTACAACACGATATCAAATATTACTAGAAATGTACGAAGAGAAAATGGATAAGGAAGCTGAAGAGAGAGCAAAGGTCAGGGCTGATAAAGAAGAAAAAGCGAAAAACTCAGAGAAAGATTCTGGTACGGAGGAAATAACAGATGATAGAACAATGACACTTAATTTAGTAGATTTATCTTGTAGTTCAAATCCCCAGCCTCCAGTCGACACGAGTTGATAGGGTGTAAATAAATATAGATAAATAGATAAAACACTGATACAATCTGAATATTTGATTAAACAGCTGATAGAGTTTAAAGTGACACATCCATCATCTGTTTTAAGAATCCATTCTTTGATTCAGAAACAAGAATTTTTTAGCTAAGTCAATCAGTAATAGACTTCACAGCTTGCTGTTGAAATTTGAGCCTTCAAATCCATGTGTGTGAAAGTTAATAACACCAGACACTGCATTTAAAGAAAAGACATCTAGAAATAGCAAAAGAAATTCGTAGTTTGAGGTATATTTGAAGGAATTTTTTTGTACATATCTAGTACTTCTGAAGACTATTTACATCTATAGAAATAGGGAAAGAAATTTCTAGTTTGAGGTATATTTGAAGGAATTCTGATTCTGAAAACATATATGCAACATCCAAATCAACATCTGATTATGCCAATTGTTGCTTTTGGAATCCCTCTACAGGATTGTAATATGACAGTTTCTCCTAGAATTCTACTGAAGCATCAACATTTGTCTGAGATAGGAGAGTGGAGAAAATAAATGTCTATTTATACATGTGATATATACACAAGTTTTTTTTGTGCCTTTCAGTATATAAGATAACAAAGACTACATTTTTTGTATTAATGTAAGAGGGAGAAACAGACCTGGATAATTGGACGTAAAATAATCTAAGAGTTCCATATTTCTCTGTATTGAGATCTGATAATGGTCCTGGATAAACATGGACAAAAACACATCATTGTGTAGTCGAGGAAGGAGCTCATTTGGATTTGATTCACAAATAGCATTCTACAAACACTGTAAAGGCCTGGCAAGCAGCGTTAACAATTTCATAAAAATATTTCTATTTGATTCAGAATTGTATTGAGATCTGATAATGGTCCTGAATAAGCATTGAAGAAAAAAAATAATTGTGTAGTTGAAGAAGGTTTTTTTTTAGCACATTTGGATTTGATTAAAAACATATACACAATTAGCCTTCTATTTTGGTATATAACACAAAACACAAGAGAATATATGATGATATAACACACTTCTTTAATAACAAAGTACATAACGTTTCATCTAATTTTCATCTGATGACAACACGTGTAAATTGTATTGATACTTTATGTACTTTGTTATTAATGAAGTGTGGTATATGTGCTTTGTATTAATCTAGTTTAAGTATCTACAAACACTATAGAAGACTGGCCTCTAATTGAAGTGAACTACTTGTTGTTTATGTTTCAAATCCTCCCCAACTGTTAAAATCTCTGTTTAACTCAAGTCTATAATTAATCTATCGTTTGTTAAGTTTGAGTTTTTGTAAATATAAATATTGTGAGAAGAAATAAATTATTTTAATTTTGTTTGTGTTGATTCTTGGATCAAGTACATTTGGTTTTGAATGTGAATATGAAAATGTCCATGTGATATCTACAGATTTGTCTCAATTAGAAACACTCTAATGATATAAAAAAAGAACCTGAAACATGCTGTTCCTCAGAGGTTAATGCTGTATACCATTGTCTGAAGATCCCACTAAACTCTGAGTAACAACATGTTTCAGGTTCTGTTAAGCCATACAGATACTCACACCATTTTTTCCCACAATGCTGTGTCGAGGTTGAGTCAAGGAACGCTAATTAAGGTTAACTACTCCAAGAAAATACCAATTTAATTAATTCAAACACTACTTTACTCTCACACTGTATTCTATATATATATATATATAATTATTAACTTCAACACAATCAATCATAAATATCAATTACTTCATGACTTCTGTTTATATAGTTGTCTCAAAGGGAACTGATTTTTACATGGAAAGTGGAGAGTAAATTGGCTTCATCCATGTCAGTTGGTTTGTCCGTCTGTCCACAATGGCTCGTACATGCTCTACAATGCACAATTCTTGACGGATTTAGACAAAACTTGGTGTTAAGAGTGAAGAAGTTCCTAAAAACTTCTATGTAAAGCACTGGCCAAGGTCACAAATAAAGAGATAAATGTTCAATACAAGATAAGGTGGTGTTATTGCTCTTGTTCTTGACAATGCGTTCAATTTTTAGCACGTCAACACAATTCTTGAAACAAAATGTAATATTGTTCATAAAAAAAACAAAAAGTTCAAACTGTGTATAACCGAAAGTTGAATATTTCATACCGGTAATTGAAACAATTGTGTAAATCAATTCTCACCGAATGAAGGTCAAAGTTCACTTCACAATGTTAATCAAAATTGAAAATTTAATAATACAATTTAACAGTGACAATAGTAAATACTAACGATGTGAACAGCAAAGCAAAACCTGAAATCCGAACAAAATATTGAAGAAACATTGGTAACTACTACTGAACTTTTTATATGAGGCAGTAATCCTACTGTAATAAACTATAAGTAAGTATTACCACGCATGCTGACCACTTCCCAGCTAATTCGATTGACACCTGGTAGACGATTTCGTGCCATGGGTTTGAATCCTCCTCAAGATAAGAAAGATTCTAATGCCAGTGCCTGTGGTATCTAGCGTCAGCCCAGTGCCGACTTTCACCCCCTAATATTTAACCTTATGATATAGAGTAGACTGCACATTCTCTTCTACGAAGTTAAATTCTCATTTCTCCCTAACACTCAATAATTAGCAGAAAGTGGCTCAAAGTCTCAAGAGCTCTATAGCTTCAGAAGACACTTTCAAAAACCAATATATCACAGTATCACGAAACAAGATAATATTGTCTTTATACTCTGAATATAGGAGGAAAAGGTGGGGCCAATCTCCATAGAAACAATATCGATATCCCAGCATTCTCATCCAAATTGGTTTACGATGGACAAATCACATTATTATATTGTCTTTATACTCCAAATATAGGAGCCGAAGGCGGGGCCAGTCTCCATAGAAACACTACTGATATCCCAACATTCTCATCCAAATTGGATTACATGGACAAATCACATTATTATATTGTCTTTATACTCCAAATATAGGAGCAGAAGGCGGGGCCAGTCTCCATAGAAACACAACTGATATCATATCATTCTCATCCATATTAGTTTATCTTCAGAACACGACAGACCAATCACAATACATTATTACTTCACCCTTTCAATGTTAATTCATCCACCATTTCTGGCTCGGCAGGTTTTTTCAAATCTTTATCAATATTAATTCCCTTGAATTTAACGTATCGTCTTCCTATCTCCTCAAAAAACTCCTCCTGTTTTAGATCGTCCAGATATCTCTGTTGGCCTCCAGACAACGACTGGAAAAATCTACAAAACAAAAACAAAGGCACAGGATAAAGTTGCGTAACTGGAATTTTTTTTATACTGTTATGGCAGTTTACATAGAACTGGAATTTTTTTATATTGTTAAGACAGTTTACCCATATATTTCCTTTCCAACTCCTTAAATAAGCCCAATTTCTCGCTGTTGATCAAGTTTTCTGTGACGTCACATAGTTTATTCATTCATATGACATCTTATTAATATATTACATAATAAGCCATGCATTCAATATGTTGGTGTGAATAAGGTCTATTCAGGACAAGATTCTGAATTACAGTTTCTAATCAACTTCAAATCAACTCACGTTCTTAAGATTTTTTTTTCTGCAGGATTAATATCCATCCCCTTCGCCTTCAGATCAAAGATCATTCCACCTAATTTCTTCGTGTGACCAGAGTAAGTCAGATTCTGTCGAATTTCGTTGTGTTTGGACAGATATTTGCTGGGTTCTTGTCTCTCAGGAGTTTTACCCTGCAATATCAAATATCTTCGACCAATTTCCGGTAAAAATTCTTCATCTGGTAAATCACAGAGAATACGTTGTTGTGTTCCAGTTAGGGACAAAAAATACCTGAAATTACGTGAGAAATGTAAGTTAATATTTGCATTGCCTAAAACAAAACTTTTCTGGGATAGAAAGACGGAATGGAATTCAGAGGCAATGGACAGAAGATTGTGACTGAAATTGAAAAACCTATTCTTTGAGTCAGAAGTAAAGGAGTTTGGGATCTGTGGAAGCTTTTTAGCTTTCTAAATACTGGAAGAGAAGAGATGGGCTGAAGGTGAAAAACCTACTTTTTGAGTAATTTCCGTTCCTCTGTCAGGATACTGAGATCCAGGGTTTTCTCTTCCCATCTTGAGTTACTCTCCTCCTTCAATCGACGTCTGGAAAATTAACAAATCAAAACTCCTTGTTTTACAAAGAATCTTCAATTTAAAAATGAGCTGGTGCTAATAGGACTATACACCACATAGCAGTCAATTTCACTGCAGCCCAAAGAACGAACTTGTGGTCTTATTACAAAGCACATGTAAATTTTTGGTTAAACTAGAGTAAGGTGCCATGACAAGGGCAATAACTCACAAAATATTTATTGCAGAAATTTTAGAAGCATAGCTAGTTGTATTAACTTAGACTAATAAGAAAATTGTGTTCAATATTTCTTTAATGCAGGTCTGATATTTACTATTTATAATCTTTAAAGTCGTTTTGAAATTAACCATCATTTGTTATTTTTTTCCTGTGACAATGAGAAGTCCATAGCGTAAATTCTGTGAGTACCTACCCTATAATTATATATGGTAATACAGCAATTATAAATATAAGGAGACATAACGGTATGGCAATTCTCTTGAACGTATCACCATCGACGTAACCAGTTCGTTCCATATACTCTTGATATCGTCTACAATATAAAACACATCATGAACATTTAAAGTGATTGTAAAGAAGTTTTCTAAATTTTGCATGTGTATCGAGGACACTGATAGCATCAATTTACACCATTCTAATTTTCAGTCAGACTTCTGTGGTTCCTGTAATTCCACTCAAACTAAGTGATTGATGACGTCACTAATCGAAAAATATGCTTTATCACATATGGCCCTTCAAGATTATTGAAGTCAATAAATTTCCTAGAATGAGATAAAAACTTACATCCATTCTGGGTTTCGATATTGATGATATTGGTTTTTCATTCTGCGAGATCGGACATTAGCCGATTCATACTGGTCCTCATAGTTGTGGTGCTTCCCCTCGAAATCCTGGATATCATATTCATCCCTGGTTGTTGAATTACTGAGTATCGTGTAGGCTTGATTTAATTTTACAAACTTATCATGCTTCTTTGGATCATTTTGGTTTTTGTCTGGATGTAACTGAAATAAACCAGAATTTACTGGTACAGAATTTAACAGCATAAAACAATGTAAGATAGGTTTAAATAAAGGCTGGAAATGCCAAGCAGTTTGCAATGAAGGAAATTTCGTTTCCACATAGAAATATTAAAATAAAAGGTAAAAGTGTTTTTACTAACCTAGGTACATGAAGTACTTCTACTACTACCACTGAGTAACCACCGTCATCAAGTTGACTATTCTGTCACTTTGGGGTGTGCACAATGAATAATATAGAAAATAGAAGTAGGAAATGAGTATGAATATCAATTTTCTCACCTTTTTTGATTTTTCAATAAAAGCGTTTCGTATTTCTGTGGTTGTAGCTCGTCGACCAACACCCAGTATCTTATAGTAATCTTGTTCTTCTTGACTGCTATAATATCTTACACTGAAATATTTATACTTCTCACTGGAGATGGTCATTGGTCAAGACAGTTTGGTGTGCAATGAGGGAAATTTAGCATGGATAGCGACATTTTTGGGTTTAGTTGCTAAGGCCTTCGTTGTTGTGTAAATTATAAGATTCAAAGAACTTTGACTAGAAGACGTTAAGTACAAACAATATGACATTATAACTGTGATGTCACTTCCTTTGGTTATGTTATGACATAACATTATGTTAAAGTCTATGAGTAGCAGCAATCCGTGATAATAAGCTTGCTCTTTTCCATTTCTTTATGTCAAGATTTCTTTAACATATCCAGTCTGTGGCACATGGAGACCAAAGGTTTTCAATTTTAATTGGATTTCATCTTGAATAAGATTTCAAGACTACAGCCTGAAGGCTTCACTTTAATTTTCCTCAGAAATTACCACCTAAATACACCACTGCTGACAATGATAAAGAGACCTGGGATAATGATCCTGAAAGCCTTGGCCGGCATCATGCAGTGTTAAAGTTCTACTTACCTACTGACAGTGGTGTGTGGAAGACGGTAAACTGGTGAGATTAAACGTAGTTTATGTCTGAGACAATATACCACCAGGTTCATTTTCTCTTCAACTCCACTCTCAACCAGACCTGTTTCAATCTTCACCACTCCTTTCTACTGCATACTAAAAATACTGTACTATTTAAATTCAGTATAGACTACAAATCAATCTTGCAAATGGCGTTAGTTTCATTTTAAAAACTGTCGTAAGTTGCCGTATAATTCTAGACGTGACAGAAAATTCTCACGAAAAAAAATACAATTTAATTTGATTTTGGCTAATCATAGGAAATATTGGATCACAAAAGGCGTCATTTTGACTCACAAACTGGGATGGTGTAATGCCATACCACTAAAATTGAACCCTGGTTATTTCAAACATGAAACAATCACCACTTGTCTATAGAGTTAACTCTTCCAAGAAGCCAATTTGAAAATATTGTGATAAAAAGCCTACCAACCCAAGCAGCTATTGTTAATAATTGTTTAAAACTTGGTCTAAGTAAAAAAAATAGTGTTTTCAAAAGTGTGCCGAGTTTGTCGTGAAATCTTTCAAAAAAAAAATCGGCCGAGTTTGTTTTGGTCTAAGATTGAACTCTATATGCACAACACTTCAACTAGTTTAACAGACATGAATAACCCACTAACTCAACCCCCCAGTCCCCCCCACCCTTTTTTAAAAAAAAACCACACACACGGACCAATGCAAATAGCAAAAAGATTGCATGAATTAAGGCATCAGGCGAGTCAAGTCTTTCAAAATCTAGTCAAAAGACTGCAAAAGTCACCTCAAGGCCATCAAGTATTTTAGAAAACAAAGATTCGTTATGCAATGTTTACCATTTTGTCCTCTGCTATCAGCCATGTTGGTGACCTTTCAACTTTGACACAAAATTGATGAGTCGTTTCGTACTGTATTTCTGTTAGGTCGTTTCATAACATCAATGTGTTTTATAATAAATATCCTGAAAAGTAACAAATTTGAACTTTGGAACTTTTGAAATTTTCACATCAAAGATTAATTGATGACATTTTTGTGAGAGAAATAGTGAACCATATGAAAAAATAAATGCACAAAAAATAAAAAAAATTTTGAATCGAATCGTCTTTTTATGTAATAATGACCTTGACATCTATTTCGATAGTTTTGTATGTCAAGACTTCAGTGTCCACTGTGAAACCAATACAAGTATCAGTCTGGATAATGAGGTCTATGTTTTTGTAAAAGGTCATGGAAATGGTCGACATGTCAGAAACTGGAAAGTGAATTTTGAAGCCTGTTTGAGATCTGTTAAGTTCGGTCATCTTGGTAAGCGTTGATACAGTTTCTATATGTGAAATTGCAATGGATAGGTTCGATGAGACAATGAATTTATGTCTTTTATAGCCAGAAAGTATTAGATCTAGTACGAATTTTTCCATGTCAAATCGGTGGGTCTTAATCTAATCACACACACAGATGTGGGAAAATAAAAAAAAAAATGAAGGAAGGGAAGGCATAGCCTAGTTTTAAACTTGGTGACACTAACCCAGTCTCTGCCTGACTATCTAGAAACTGTCAAACAGCCTTTGATTCGTAAAGATGTGATTGTGGGCAAGGTGAGAGTAAATTACTCTAGATCAGTGTTTGGCAAGACTTGAAGAGTAAAGAGTTTCAAAAAAAGTTCAAATCGCCACAACAACACTACAATAATTTCTTTCATAAAGTGCAGGCCTACTGCATGAGTCAGGTAAACAGAAATACACCATGTAAAGCAAACTTTTATATTCTATATAAGCTTGAAAAATAACACAAGGGAACGACTTATGATATAACACTTTTCCTTAATACAAAGTCAAAGTACAAACACAATCTACACAGGTCGTCTTCAGATGAAATGAGGAAAGAAGGGGTAGACATGACAATACATTGCTAAAAGGGAAGCAATAGGGTAGGTAATAACATGATAATAACAGAATAATAACAAATAACAAACAATAAACTAATCAATTAACAATAACTTAAATTAATAAGTGATCTCTGGTTTTATATATCATTCAAATCTTTTTTTTTTTTCTGAATTGCAGTAAATATCCACCACTCAAGAGATATAATGGTGAATTATCAAGGACCTAACGTGTGTTAATTTTGAATTGATCAGAAACAGCTGGGCAAAATGATTATATTTAGTTTGAATAGTTTTCTCAGTAGAAAGATAATTTCTACATCAACCGTTTTTTACAACAATTTTAGAGGGTATGTATAGATTTTTTTTAATTTGTGTTGGCAAGTTTTCTCGAGTTAAAGGGACAGGTTGGCTATTTTTTTTTTTTTTGGAGTTGATTTAAGTCTTGAATATATGTAAATAGTCTTCAGAAGTACTAGAAATGTACAAAATTGCATAGTTCCTTCAGAAGTATCTCAAACTAGGAATTTCACAGATAAATTTCAACAAGCTTGAATGTTTCTCAAAATTAAAATAATATTTTCAGATATGCCTCAGCTTCTCATTATGAAGTTCTCGGGGTGAAGAAAAATGCCTCTCAAGAAGAAATTAAAAATGCCTTTTATGCCAAATCAAGAAAGGTAGGTAGAAATCACCTTTCTATTCATGGGTTTTTATTTTTGTTATAATATAAAGAAATGCTGGAAAGAATTTTGTTTTTTAAATGAATTTAAAGATGTCAGAAGATTGCATAAACTCCGAGTAACAACATGTTTCAGGTTCTGTTTTAGTTGTCAGAAGATCGCATAAACTCCGAGTAACAACATGTTTCAGGTTCTGTTTTAGTTGTCAGAAGATCGCATAAACTCCGAGTAACAACATGTTTCAGGTTCTGTTTTAGTTGTCAGAAGATCGCATAAACTCTGAGTAACAACATGTTTCAGGTTCTGTTTTAGTTGTCAGAAGATCGCATAAACTCTAAGTAACAACATTTTTCAGGTTCTGTTTTAGTTGTCAGACGATCGCATAAACTCTGAGTAACAACATGTTTCAGGTTCTGTTTTAGTTTTGATGGATATTTTCAATCTGTTTTAGTTACATCCAGATAAACATAATAATGATCCGAAGAAACATGGTCAGTTTGTAAAGATTAGTGAAGCGTATACCACATTGAGTAGTCGAGAAGGGAGATGGGAATATGATACAGGTATGCCGTACGGTGTACCAAAACCAGTTTATTATAAAATGTAAGTTAACTGGTTGAAATTTTCAATTTTGCGTATTCTAAAAGTTTAAATTAATAAATCACCAAACTAGGTCAAACTTCTTAATTAACAATTAGAACTCTCTGTTTTTAATTAACCCTTTTAAAATAAATTCAGTTTGATCAAGTAGATACATAGATATAAATAACATACTTTAGAAATATTTTCAGGTATAATTTAAATGTAAAATAATAAAGTGAAAAATAATCTGATGTAAAACTCCAATTCATTTCGAGACAGGAAGATCATATAACAGACAACACAAGGGAATATATTATTATATAACTCACTTCATTAATAACAAAGTACACAACATTTTTACACATGTTGTCATTAGATGATATTTATCTAAGCATTTTATCTGATGATAACACGTGTAAATTGTGTTGAAACATTAAGTACTTTGTTATTAAAGAAGTGTGTTATACCATCATATATTCTCTTGTGTTTGTTGTTATTCATTGACTCATTGTGCGTGTATTATAATGATAGGAGAACTCCAACTCAACCAGAAGACAGTGAGTTCAACAATTATACCTTCAGACTAGCTGTCTTGTGTCCCATTGGTTTAGTTATATTTACTTATTTATTATATTTTGATATTTTACGGTAAGTTTTATTTTTAATTAATCTGATTGATTAGGACTAGGAGAATGTATCTTGGTATTTTTTCTATATAGGGTTTGAAACCTGACACGTGGCCATCAAGTTTTTATATTCGATAGGATTTAAACCCACGGCACCACAAAGCAGAAGACAATCTTAACTCCCCATCGACTGAGCTATTCTAATGCCACAATAAGACAGTGTTTCAACTCAGAATTAGAGAGAAATGATCACGTAAAACAATTGAGTCAAGCCCACGATTCTAAAAAAATCCAGCAATAAGAATTTGTCGTAAGAGTGGAATTTTACAGTGAAAAATATCAAACTCAGAACAAATTTAATGGTAAGAATTTTGTTTTCTGAAACAAGGCCCTGAAGATCACACAGCATTAAGCTGTAAGAAACAACATGTTTCAGGTTCTGTATTAATATTTCTATTTAATAGTTGATATTGTATAATTTTCAGAACGGCACCACGTTTTGATGATGGTGATAGATTTTTACAGAAAGTTTATGATAATAATGATGAATATGTTAATATGAATAAGTATGTTCAATATTTTATCTAAATCTTAGAGAAAGCAAATAATAATTTCACCGAGGACCAGCTGGTAGAACATATATTTTTGTTAAATCATTACCAAGAGGATTGGCCAAGGAATAGCCGGTTGACAGGATCCTTGTGAATCTAAAAGCTTAAGAAACCAGTAGACAAGATCCTTGTGAACCCTAAAGCTTAAGAAACCAGTAGACAAGATCCTTGTGAACCTAAGAGCTTAAGAGACCAGTAGACAAGATCCTTGTGAACCTAAAAGCTTAAGAAACCAGTAGACAAGATCCTTGTGAACCTAAGAGCTTAAGAAACTGATAGACAAGATCCTTGTGAACCTAAAAGCTTAAGAAACCGATAGACAAGATCCTTGTGAACCTAGAGCTTAAGAAACCGATAGACAAGATCCTTGTGAACCTAAGAGCTTAAGAAACCGATAGACAAGATCCTTGTGAACCTAAAAGCTTAAGAAACCGATAGACAAGATCCTTGTGAACCTAAGAGCTTAAGAAACTGATAGACAAGATCCTTGTGAACCTAAAAGCTTAAGAAACCGATAGACAAGATCCTTGTGAACCTAAGAGCTTAAGAAACCGATAGACAAGATCCTTGTGAAACTAAGAGCTTAAGAAACCGACTTGTAGAAAGAATCCTATAAAACGTAAATTGTTATCCTGGTAAAATCATTACCAAGGGGGGTTTGATCATGGACAAACATGTAGACAGATCGTCAAGTACTAGCCTAATGAAATATGATTTTTTTTCAAATTGAAATTTGATATTTACAGGTTTTACTGGTCATTAGATTTAAAAACTCAGATATCTCTGGATGTTTTACCTGATAAAGAGTTTACGGAAGCAGTCCGGGCAATGTACCAGTCGTCTGAACAATGTCAGAAAGATTTGGCTAAGAAAGCTGCTAAAGAAGAAAGAAAGAAGAATTATGTCTCTGTGTAGTAAGTAGAAAGATTTCTTGGTTAACTTTTCCTTCCTACACGATTTTGAAAACTGCTTAAAGAGATTGTAAAGAGGTTTTATGTTTATCCAAACCAGACTTACAGGGAAATGGCCATGTGTTAAAAGGTTCTTAACTTTTCATGTATATCAGGGACACTGATAGCATCAAATTACATCATTCCTATTTTCAATCAGATGTCAGTGGTTCCTGCAATTCCATTAGAACTAAATGCCTTATGTGATACAAGCATATTTTGCAATTAGTGACGTCATAAAACATTTAGTGGAATTGCAGGAACCACAGACATCTGACTGAAAATTGGAATGGTGTAACATGAAAAATTTAGAAAACCTGTTTACAATACATAATTGTCTAGAATGATTATCAGAAATGGACAGTCTTAAACGACATATACTCAGGTATAGGGAACGCGAGGAAAGTTGCTCCTTTCTTCATCAGCTTTGCCAATTTTTAATTTTTTTTCAAAACTCAAAGGACACAGTGCCATGATATTCTGTTATTGTTTTTTTCCCAGCAAGATCGATGCCAGACCAAAGAGTGTCAGGGATGCAGAAGCTGCCCTGAAGGCCCAAAAAACTCAAGAAGTAGAACAACTTACTCAAACCAAGAGTTAGGAAATTAAACTATAAATGAAAGTTTGAAGAAGTTGAAATTAATACATGATAAAAAATAGTGAGAAAGTTTATAGTGAGCTTGTCTGTGATCAGAGACAGTAATATTATGTTGTGTGGTCTACACAGTGAGGTGTTAATATATAACTGAACATAGAAGGGCTGGAGAAATGGGTTTAAATAAGGATAAACTAGTGGGGAAAAAAAATTAATTTCCTAGTTTGAGATATATTACAAGGGATAAGGCAATTTTCGTTCATTTTTCTAATACTTCTGAAGACTATTTACATAAATTCAAGGCTCAAATCAACCCCGAAAATAGTGAACCATGACCTTTAAAGAAACAAGTATAATGTAGATCAGTGAACAGGCTATGTTCCTTTCAGTTTCAAGTTTGGTATAAACAAAATAAGTATAAACAATAATAATAATGTCCGTAGCATCCCTTGTGTTTAATTTGTGTTCACACCATTCCAAGAGTAGTGCTTTTAAAAAGGAATACAGGCAAACTGATTAATCTACAAATCTGGATATTTCGTTTAGTATTTCTTCATCAAGGGAGGCAACTTATTCCATGATGTAACTGAAGTGGTTTGCTTCAGATACAGCAGATTTCAAGATTTTTGTCGTCACGTGTGCCTGTTCTTCCACAACAAGATTATTGCGTTGCCAACAGGATATTTTAATATTTGTTGCCGATTATTTTATCGTCTGCCAGACAGAGCATCATCATCCAATCAGATTCATTTTCCTTTCAAGTACATGATCCCCACGTGATTATCGACATTGTGGAAAATGACCGACTGGAGATTTTTTGTCTCCTGGTGTGCCTGCAGTCGGTCAACTGAAGTAGTCTACCAAGACTGTGAAGTGTCTGCGGCTTAAATCACTGAGATACTTTGTCAATTTTGAGGTATTTTTTCTGTAGAAAGGAATTTTTTTGGGGATTGGGTTTTGTCTGTGATTCTCGAAGAATATCTGAAATATAAAAAGCATCCTTGTTGTATCACTGACTTTATAATGTTTTATTAAATGAGATTAACAATATCTCAGGAACATTTCTCTTGAAAGCATTTTATTTTACATCATTTTGAAACCAACATGTGTTAGAACAGATAGACCATCATATATATTTTTGATTGTAATTTTGAATTGATATCTTAATCCTTTAAACCCTGAGTGTAATAAAATATAACATCATATACCCTGAACTCCAAGTAATAAAAGTAAAAGCGTATGACGTTAATGTTGTATGACGTCACTTAGTAACAGCCGGTAAACTGGCCGCTAGGGTTTAAAGGGTTAATATATGATATATGTATAAAATTTTCGTATTATCTTGATTTATCCTGTGAAAGAAATAATGTAACAGTTAAACAAAGATATTTTTATGCTCATTAAAGGTCCGATCCAAATCATAAACCCAGGCAATCCATTTTATTTGAGGAAGGAATCAACTGAAGGACAAACAAGGAGATATCAGAGTAGCTCAAGATAATGCCCTCTACACTTGTTACAGTGTCGTTACGTTATCAATCTAATATCATCTTTACAATATCAAACTATTACGAACTGTGTCTTATACCTTGACTGTAATAGTCACCTTTCTTGTATCACAGAATCCATATATTTGATTGAATTGTACACCAGTGAATACAGCCAATCAGAGTCCAATAGATGGACTGTGATTGGCTATAAAAACTAACGTGCAATCTAATCAAATCACTGCATTTACAAACTTTCATAAAACAAGAAAAGTTACCATTGTAGTCGAGGCGAAAGTACAAAGTTCGTAATAGCTTGATATTATGAAGATGATAGTACCTTTGCAAAGAATCTATTCAGTATTGCTCTTAAATAAATTAATGAGAAGAATCCAGACAGTGATGGGTGCTGATGTGACAGACACGAGAGATTAAAATAATTTCATCCACAACACATTCTGTACATTGAGAATATTTATTTACAATATTTTTATAAGAAATTTACTTTATCACAGTGGTTTAGATGTCTTGGTTGAAAATTAAAAAGGAAATTTTCTAGACTTTTCTTGTGTATCAAGGATACTTATAGCTTCTATTTAATTCATTCTTGTTTTCTGTATGGGTCTAATGTGCCTTTGTATAGCTTCTATTTACACTATCTGTAATTTCATGCCAGGCATCTGAGGTTCCTGCAATTCTAGAAAGACTTGACTATAATTACTTTCAATGTCATTCTCTGGAATAACAGGAACATTGTTGGATCAGAATTCAGAATAGTGCAAATACAGACCACATTGATGCTATTAGCATCCCTGATACACATAAATAGGCTTGAAAACCTCTTTTATAAATCTTAAACATTGGTTCATACAACCCAAGAACTGGAAGAACAAGGCTAGAAAACTAACAGTGTATAACTTTGTATCACAATTCTAATGTCAAGGCAACTGATGGTCAAATTAAAGGCACAATGTATTACTAATTACAGTGAAAAATTTCAAAAAGAGGTCTATATTGCAAGAATAATTTTCACTCTCAGAATATTTACAAATAAACACAAACAATAATTATACATAAATAACAGACACGATGGCAGAAAAAAACTAGTGCAATATTTCAGACAAAAAATAATTTAAATTATTAAAGAAAAAAATATCAAAAGTAACAAAGAAAATTCTGCGTCCCTCTTAGATATGCGGAAACATAATTTGGTCCCTTTAACAGAAATTGAGACTGTCTTTATATAATTAATGCCATTGAAGATTATCTTAAAGAGATTGTAAAGAGAAGTTTTTCATGTGTATCAGAGACAAAGCACAGACGTCATGAAAATTTGAATGATGTAAATTGATACTATCTGTGTTCCTGATACACAAAACTCTTTACAATCAATTAAACAGTTATCTTAATATAATGTTAAACTTTAATATATTTTGTTACTAAATAGTATGTATTATAATAAGTATAATATTTAGACAGTTAGCAATATTTTGGCAAATTTAAAGCACCGTATTCACAACCCCTTAAGATTTGATTTAAGCAGAATACAACATAGGAAATATTTCACAAAATCACAACAAACAACATTCATTTATCCAGACAATACTTTAATCTGATTGGTCAATATAAATAAATTCAGCTAATTGACCAATCAGATTTATGAGTATTATTTATCAAAGTTTTGATCAGAAATCAAGAATTTCCCCTTGAAAAAGTAATAATATACATCAAAGTGGAATATTAATAAATACAATACAAGTTATTGCTATAGAACTGGGAGATATTGGACACAGTTTTAATTGTGGAAGTTAATCTGCTTCAGATACAGATCTAGATGTTTTGTTTCATGTTTCTCTACAGGTTTATACACTTCTCGTCCATGATCTAACAATCGTCTTCTCTTAATCAAGTTCACTTGATTTCGTCCCATGTCATAATTGTTGTCTTAAAAGTGGTAAGATGCAGAAAAGTAGGACGTAAAACTCCATTCATTTCATTTCATTTAAAAGTGGTAAGAAACAAATCATTAAACAAAGCGGTTCTATTAACAAAATATCTCATTAAGAGTAATTGAACATATTAATAAATATCATAGAAATACTCGTATAGAGTCAGGATAGAAATATTATAACATAATCTCAAAAAACATGTTGATACACAGAGTTTCACGCTATGTGATCTTCAGACAACCATAACAGAACCTGAAACATGTTGATACACAGAGTTTCACACAATGTGATCTTTAGACAACCATAACAGAACCTGAAACATGTTGTTACTCGAGAATTTCATGCTATGTGATCTTCAGACAACCATAACGGAACCCGAAACATGTTGTTACTCGAGAATTTCATGCTATGTGATCTTCAGACAACTAAAACAGAACCTGAAACATGTTGTTACTCGGAATTTCACGCTATGTGATCTTCAGACAAATGGAACAAAGCCTGAAACATGTTGTTACTCAGAGTTTCACGCTATGTCATCTTCAGACAACCAAAACAGAACCTGAAACATGTTGTTACTCAGAGTTTCACGCAATGTGATCTTCAGACAACTGAGTTGGGATATATAGTTGGAGCATTCGATTGGTTGAATATCAAATGACACAGAACACGAGATGCATAACAATATTGGACAGATTATGGATGGCAAGTGGATACCTGCAATCAACAAAATATGAAACACCTAAATTTACATTTTGGTCACCCAACCTTAAATTGCTTGGACTTCAACAGAAGTAAGCATATGCATTTTTTAATATTCATATTTTCATAAAATTCTGATGAAATTTCATGAAAGTGTCTTACCCTATAAATTCTCGGAGATATAGTCATCTATATAGTTTGTTTCCATGGATATATCTCAATTTCAACTATGGGTATATTATAAACAGTGAGTTACTCTTCAGAATGAAAATTTGATATACAGTTTGTATGCAATTAATGAAAAGTGACTATGGAAAGACCCTTTTACAGGTATATCCTATTTAACAAAAATCTGTACAAACAAGACACTTCGGTCAATCAAAAATCTCGTCCAAAATATGACAAAAATCAAGGTAGTATAATAGTGGACTCCTTTAAACCATCAGGTGATTCAAAAAGAATGAGCATGGTCTGCTTCACTACTACAATGGTTTCATAACCAATTTGACTCAATTAATTGCAGACAAACCAGATGTCAAATTCTAAAAATGATAATGAAAGTTGAAATTGAGTTCTATCAGGTAGTTATGGGAACGTAAAAATAAAATCTACATGAAGTCAATTTTGATCAAAATGAAGTAAACATCCTAGTATTTTCTTAGACACACAGGTCCAGACAGATAGACATCTCCATTTCATTTAAATTTCTAAATATTTAGATGACTATATCTTCAATTTACGCTGTAGGTGTAGTCCGAGTTTAAATACATTGTAAACAAGTTAGTGACCAGATAATTCAATATTAACAACCGAACATTTCCTGGGAAGCATACGTCATATACAGAAAGCCATCATCATCTCTCTCATCTCTATATATCTCAGCCATCATGGACGACATACTAGATATACTTTTATTATTTACAATTAAATAAAACGCTTGGTTGGCATTTAAGGACATTCTGTTTCTGAAATTATAATATATATCAATTATGAAATGAAGTATCATTTTATTCCTGATGAGGTGTGAGAACCAGATAGAAACTTTGTAAAGGTATCCACCCCTAATTATTATTTAATTTTTCTATAACTTGTGTTTTTAATGTGTCAGGAATATATTACACAATTCGATATAGGATGTTTATAACACATTGTGTCACAATCAACTTGTTAGCTACCCATCACCTGTTTCTCTAATTAGCTGATAATTAATCAATATAGAGAACTATAGAAACAACAGGACGACAGTCTTTCTACTTTACTGCACTCAGGCCTAATTTTCACCCAATTAAAGATATTTTTACTCATAATTTCTACACACAAAATAAAAACTTCTTCATAGTCTTTAGGGCCGAGTCTTTTTCTCTGTCATAAAAAATATAAAATATTTCTCAAGCTTGAATGATGTCTACTGACAATCTGTATTAGAGGTATGAAAGGCTAAACCCAGATCGACTCTCGATAGCACTGGCATAAGAATTTTTCTTATCTTGACAAGGATTTGAACACGCAGCACCTTATCACCTGGCAGATGACAATCCATCTCGCTATCATGGGCCAACTTTAACCCTTTGAACACCGAGTGTGAATCAGATAAAACGTCCAAATAATAGAACTTGAAGCCTCTAATGTGATGTGGTGTCATTTGGAAATGGCCGCTTTACTGGCCAATCAGGTATACTGTCATTATTTTCAAGATATCATTACATTTTATATTTGGATTTCTCCAAACTGTCTACTTACCTAATAATTGTAACAAATTGAGACATTGAAAGTTCCTGGGGGACGAGAAATTTTGTTTTATCCAGAATGGGTAACTGTTTTTCTTTATGATATCTTTCTACTATAACCTACAACAAAACAACAAATAAATATTTTCAAAAGTGGAAATTGAAGCAGTTATCAAAACTGTCAAAGTTGAATAAATCTTTAGTCCATTAAGTAGGCCTCCTGTCTGGGTTTCAGAATCGTTATTTTCCCTTTTTTTTCTTGGATTGAAACATCATCTCCCAATAATTACTAAATAACATTAAGTCTTAACAGTTTCTAAGAACTTACAGGAATTTTGGTGGGGAATTTTGATCTGATTCCACCAACTTCTTCTTTTCTTGTGGCTAAAAAATACAAATAAAATGTTGTGACATAGGTTTATACAGAATTATTATTCTGTTCAATTTCTTGATTAGGTCAGAGCACAGGCATCTGTTTCTATCAATAGTCGACCATCTCTATTATAGAGAGAGTCGACTATCGGTAAAAACAGATGCCTGTGGGTCAGAGATATAAAATTTGGCAGACATTTAGAAGCAGAGAGCACATACTGATAAGTAAATAAAAAAGTTCATAACATTTCAACACAATTTACGCAAGCCTGACATTTATGGGGAAAGATCTTAACAGTCAGTAGACCTCTACTTTATTTTGGTATTATCAAATACTGCAGACATAAGTCAACTCTTTGTGTCCAGATGATCCTAAATCAAATGATGTAAAGTTACTTGACAGATTAAGCTACCTTTTATCTTTTTTTTAAAGAAAAAAAATCAGGTGACATTTTGTCACAAAAACTGTCAAAAGTGAACAAATTTTACAATTAAAATAAAAACTACAGGATAGTATAGTATCTGTTATCATCTGACCCATTTGTCACCCTAATTTAGCTCAGTTAACTATTTTGTTGATTCAATTTGCCAGACGATGGCTTACTTTAAATGTAAGGGGGTGTCCATTTTCATCATGAATGGGCTTCAACTTAAAAGAAAAAAAATGACACATTTAGGGCCATGTTTTGTGAAAAACAAGGACTTACCGAAGCTTTTCCTTTGTTTAAAAGTTTTCCCCAGGCTTTCCTGAAGTTCCGACTTCATTTTGGACGAAATTTTTCAAACAGACGTAAAAAAATAAGAGCGAAATTCAGACAGACTTCGCTTAAGAGTGATAACTTCTCCAATGTTTTGGTCTAACATCTGACGTCACATCCACAACATGTGACTAGAGTTCAAGGTTGGGGTCAAGAGTTCAAACCAAAATGAAAGTAGAGCGATTTGTTAAATGATAAATGAGCGCACATATCGTATTTGCTCTCATCAAAACAACTCAAACTTTAAAGAACATAACACCATGTTTGTTGACTTCTTCAGCAGTTTTTTTATTTGCTTTTCCATGACATTTGCCATTTATTTTGGAATAAAAAGACAAGGGGGCAAGAGATATTTACCACGCGTGGAAAATAGCGAATATCCATTCAAACGGCAATATGCCACGCGTGGTAAAAAGTGAAAGCCTCACTTTATTGTCTAATCAGAACATCTGGACGCTTTTTGATGTCAGCACTGCATCACTGATATCCCATCCTATGCGGAAACAGACCTATTGGGTGTCTAGGTTTTCAGCCCCTACCTTGAGTTTCACACTGTGCGATCTTCAGACAACTAAAACAGAACCTGAAACATGTTGTTACTCAGAGACGCTATCTGATCATAAAACAACCAAAACAGAACCTGAAACATATTGTTACTCAGAGTTGCTATGCGATATTCAGACAACTAAAACAGAACCTGAAACATGTTGTTACTCAGAGTTGCTATGTGATCGTCAGACAACTGAAACAGAACCTGAAACATGTTGTTACTCAGAGTTGCTATGCGATATTCAGACAACTAAAACAGAACCTGAAACATGTTGTTACTCAGAGTTGCTATGTGATCGTCAGACAACTGAAACAGGACCTGAAACATGTTGTTATTCAGAGTTTCACCTATTGACTAGAAGAAGTATTTGTCCCAGTCTACACTTGGACAGATCAGATGGTTTATTAAAATAAGAAGACAACTATATAGTGATATATGATGATTATTATTATTATTATTATTATTATACAAATACATAGTTTAAAAGACCAGCTAGTAACAATATAATACATGAGATTAGAGAGAGAGTGTCATCCACACTCTGGGCAAGAGTACTGACACTTATGCTTGGTTTTAAACAGTAAAGAACTGTTCTAAACTCCAAAAAATAACCCTTAAAAAAGTCTGTCTGTGCTTTCGTAACATCACTTTATCTCAATATGTTACAACCAAAATTCTTTACAAAGAACCTAATGGCAGCTGTACTATAGTTAAATAAAAAAGCAAAGAGCAACAGTAATTTGAAATAAATTTCCTAAAAAATCCCAGATGACCTATGCACAAAGTGTGAATGACTTACCTCCCCTAATAACATTCAAATATAATATATAAGATTCTAGTTTTTACACTGAATTCTGTCTGGAACTGGCACCAGATATTGGTAAATCAATACAACATGATACGTAATGCTACAATACGTCTAGCACATCTTAGGATCATGTATCGATACAAAATGCTACAATACGTCTAGCACATCTTATGATTATGTATTGATACTAAATGCCACAATACATCTAGCACATCTTATGATCATGTATCGATACTAAAGCTACAATACGTCTAGCACATCTTAGGATCATGTATCGATACAAAATGCCACAATACGTCTAGCACATCTTATGATCATGTATCGATACTAAATACAATACATCTAGCACATCTTATGATCATGTATCGTTACTAAATACAATACGTCTAGCACATCTTAGGATCATGTATCGATACAAAATGCTACAATACGTCTAGCACATCTTAGGATCATGTATCGATACAAAATGCCACAATACGTCTAGCACATCTTATGATCATGTATCGATACAAAATGCTACAATATGTCTAGCACATCTTATGATTATGTATCGATACTAAATGCCACAATACGTCTAGCACATCTTATGATTATGTATTGATATTGTAGCAGGCATACCACAATATGTCTAGCACATCATGTATTGATACTGTAGCAGGAATACCACAATACGTCTAGCACATCATGTATCGATACTGTAGCAGGCATACCACAATACGTCTAGCACATCATGTATCGATACTGTAGCAGGCATACCACAATACGTCTAGCACATCATGTATTGATACTGTAGCAGGCATACCACAATACGTCTAGCACATCATGTATTGATACTGTAGCAGGCATACCACAATACGTCTAGCACATCATGTATTGATACTGTAGCAGGCATACCACAATACGTCTAGCACATCATGTATTGATACTGTAGCAGGCATACCACAATACGTCTAGCACATCATGTATCGATACTGTAGCAGGCATACCACAATACGTCTAGCACATCATGTATCGATACTGTAGCAGGCATACCACAATACCATTATTTCATGAAGAACAATTTACAAGGCTTTAAAATCAACCAATATTTTATTTACAGAAAGACAAAAGAAAAGTAACTTCTGAAAATACTGATAGAACTTACCAGACACTGTGGTCAATAAACTTATCAAATATTCTACTGTTATTTTTGTTGAATTATAAGTCTATTTAACACAGACTTTCTGTGACGTCTTTACAAAGTATATCAGTATTGGAAAATTTGATATATCATTATGACCTTTCTTTTGTCTTCCAGTAAATTTTATAATAATGAGACGAACAACTGTCCTGTATAAGTCGAGACGTTTCCCGACTGAATATTTACAAATCTTCAATACTTACAATATTCCATTCATATTCATTGAAAAAAACAAAAGTAATTAAGTGCAGTTATCACTTGTGAAATTTGTACCATGTTCGATACCTCTAATGATTATCGTGTTTACTGGGTTAATATTGTGAATTATCGTTCGATATCGGGGTTCTCTCGTTCTTACCACTTTGGAAAGTTGCGAAAAAGGAGAAATGACACTGATTTTCACAACTTCTACAACCTTCACCATTTGCAAAAATTAGCAGGAATTTCAACACCGTTAAAACCTCTTCATCCACCTTCGTTATAAAGTGGTGAATATTGCCAAAAGGTGTCCACTTTTGCACACAAGTTTCAGAAAGTTGTAAACACTATTTTCACAGCAGATATCAAACACAGCATTAGAAACAAGGAATAATGAAATAAAGAGAAGTAATTCAGCTAAAATAGGCATCAGAGATCGGACAAAATAAAAACCTACTAGTGTTTAAGATTCGTTGTGTATTTATACATTATTTTAACCAGTTATAATTCTTATAATAAAATAGAACTTAGATCTTCTGTCTACCAACAATTAATCTGATTTAAAAACAACTCTACATCAATCGCCATTTTCTCAAATCTTGACCCAAGTTGTTCTAGTTATCTGACAATCGATTGAAAAGTAGATTATAATTATAGTCTCAATTGTAATCTGATGTTTTTCTACCACAGTTGCTGTCTGGTGACGGTATTTCAACCAATCAAAGTGTGTCATGTAGAATTTGTTTTTTGAAAACATAACAAACAGAATAATACAACCTATATCGGTTTCCCACAATTTGTTATGTTATAAAGAGACAGGTTCTACATGACATACTTTGATTGGTTAAAAGGCATTCAAAAGAAAATTTCTACCAAAGTTTGTAGAAAAACTAGTCAGATTTCAATTGAGATGATAATTATAATCTTGTTTGACGACCACTTGAGGCTTTGTTATATACAATATAACATATATAGCACTATTTCAACATAACTTCACTTTCAACTTATCCTTCAAAACTTCAAAAAAATATGTTAATTCATCATAAGCATGAAAGACATTTACATAAAAAAAACCTTCAGCAAAAATTCCAACCTTGATTTTTGAAAAATTTGTGCGGAAGGAAAGAATGAAAATTACGATTAGACCTGACAAACATAGACTTTTACAAAATAAACATTGTTAAAACATAACAAACAGAGATACCTTTATTTACAGAATTTATACCAAATACTAGATCTAAATTTTAACACAGGCCAGTTTCTCTAAAACTTGACTTCAAGTACCCTTCTCACAAAATTTAACACAAATACAATCCAGGTCATGTATTCTGCAAACATTCTAGACGCTAGTATATCCTAGAAACAATGTTAGAAGTTAGGACATCCTAGTGCTAAGATCGATTCGAGAATACGTCACCAGATTTTAATAACTAGAGAAATCAGAGAAATTCGCTGTTTTTATAAAATCATGGGACTAAAGTTTAATATCATAACAATTCTTACCTCTTTTAAAAATCTTGATTAAATCTAAATTAATAAATTTAAAATTGTTGATTGATTATTAAAATTATGTGAAATCAAGTTTTAGAGATACAACCCCTTGATTCCATTTTAAACCAGAGTAAACCTTGTATAACACTGTATTATTATATTATATTATTACAAACAACAAGTCTGAAATACATTCAATATCATCTTTTACAATGTTTCTTACATATAGCTAGAAATCTGTTCTCAGCCATTTGTTATAACTTTAAAATTGCTCTGTTTTTAACAACACGCTAGAAATCTGATTGGTCTATATATATCTATAGTCAGATTATCCAATCACAGTAGACTACGTAGTTGGAACTACCATGTTTCTGACAACTAGCTAGAAATCTGATTGGTTAAATATATCACTGTTTTAAGAAATCACATATAACCCAAAACACTTCTTTATTAACAATGTACATAACATTTCAACACAATTTACACGTGTTGTCATCAGATGAAATGTAGAAAGGGGGTGTCACCCCTGGTTGAAGGAGAGAATAAATATTTATAAAAGAGAGTATAACAAAACTAATCAGATTTCTTAGTAGTGATCGTTTTTGATAATCATAAAGTTACGATATTTCACAAAACAAGGCCCTGAATTATAAAGTTACAAGTTATACCAGGTTCACTCTGTTTAAAATCGTTAGATCTTACCAATTAATTAAAATATTGAAGATAATTAACAATTAAAAACATGATATAATAAAAGATGAAAGATTGATACAATGTAATATTAATAGATATCATGATCTATAAACAATCTTAATATTAAAATAATCTTATTATATTCATCTTGTTTCTTAAATTATTCCGATTCCTTATTTTACTTTATTAACCTACAAATCTTAACTAATCAGGTTTTATTGTTGAAAATTTAACTAAAATAATTTCAATCTTCCAGTCATCTGATTGGTCAACCACTAAAATTAATTTTAAATTTAGTGATTGACCAATTAGATAATCAGATTTCATTTTCTGTGAAACAGTGACCTTCTGAAAATACTTTCCAAATACCCGAAATGCAGAAATTTGGTTTTCTCGAAACGATCTTAGCACTAGGACGTACCAAAAACAGTGTTAGAAATTAGGATCCTGGGACGTCCTAGCACTAAGATCTTTTCGAGAATACAGGGTCTGATTCATATATGTTTATATATAAACAGGACTGCCTGATGGGGGTTTGTAAAAGTAACATGAGGCCCTGGCATCAATCTATATCACCAGAATCTCTTGTAAAACCAGTCAATAGTAAGGGTATCTAATATACCCAAGTTTTTAACTCAAAATCACAATTTTTACAGTTAAAGTGGACTTTCTGATCGACCTGGATACCAATCATACCACAGGTGACTCCTTAAAAGTTCAATTATAAAAAAGGAGTCAGATAGACACTGTGAATGATAGAATTTAAGAGATTCTGAAATTCTAACAACTGGAAGCATCCAAAAAAACCAGTCGAAGGATTCCCCTGTTGATAAAGACCAATAAATTACCTATAACTATAAAATACTAATTTTGATTTAAATGCATGATATATAAAATGATATGAATAATCTACTCCACGACGATGATTTCTTATATAAAATCTGCCATTATTTCATAAACCCAAACCTTATTCTCAAAACTTCATGTAAAAACATTTTAGTGTTCCAGTCATCTGATTGGTCAATCACTAAAATTAATTTTATTGTTAGTTTATAGATAAAGTATCTTATCTAAGATAAAGATAGTTCTCTTGTTCCAGTCATCTGATTGGTCAAATTGATATCAATTTAGTTTTATTATCCAATCAGATTACTGTATTTCTTCAAATCCGGGTTTTATCTGAGGACAGATTTTGAGAATAAGGACCAGAAAATTTTCCTATAAAATTCTGATACAATGAGATATTTCAAAAATTAGATGAAACTTGAAAATCACCAATAGGGGCTGTATCCGTACACGATATAGAATCCCCATATCTGAAAAAACCTTACTATCAACATATACTGTCAGTGATATATTTCTCTGTAATATTTTTAACTACCAGGGTAGCTCTTTTGAGAAAGAGTGGTCTGCTCGTGTAAATAAAATTGAACTCTCCTGTTTAGGGACTATTTAACACTAGAAAAACACCAGGCCACATATTCTCGAAACAATCTTAGTGCTAGGATATCCTAGGTTCTTATCTTCTAACATTGATTCTAGGATATCCTAGGTTCTTATCTTCTAACATTGATTCTAGGATATCCTAGGTTCTTATCTTCTAACATTGATTCTAGGATATCCTAGTGCTAAGATCGTTTCGAGAATACGTGGCCTGTATTGCATTGTATTAGCACTGTTTAACCAGAAGACAGAATCTGTGTTGTCGTCTTGCCATGATGAAACTGATTGATATCAGAGATAACGAACATCAGTTAAAAACCATAATAATATCTTATTTCATTTCATTTCATCAATTGTTCCAATATTATAACATTATTCTTTCTTCTATATACTACAATATATAAATATAATTATTATACATAACATAACACTTGTTAAATATATACTTATTCAAACATTTTCTTTACTAACTGATAGAACTGGGGTTTTAATCTCGAAAACTTAAGATGAAAATTAAAATTTCCAGTCATCTGATTGGTCAATCACTAAAATTGATTTTAAATATAGTTCTATCATCCAATCAGATTACAGAATTTATTTAAATGTAGATTTTTATCTTAGTTTTTTAGAAAAGGTCTCTGAACTTTCAGAATTTGAATTAAAATCAGACATTGGTTGCCTCAAGAATTAATCTAAAACTTTCTGTGGCTGTTATTAGTCATATTTTGTTTAAAATGAATGGTGTTTTAAGAAGGACTGTCCTTCTCTTCTGTATCTGATTGGGAAAATTAAAAGCTAAAATCAAAAACTATGTATGATATTTCAAAAGTGCATGTGAATCCACATAAGAATAGGTTCTTGCAATGGGTGGGTACTAGTGGCAATGGGGGTGGGGGGTTTTTGGGGGTCAGGGCCTTCCCTTGGAAAAATTTTCTAACCTAGGAAGGCAGAATTTCATCTGAGATTTTTGCACTGAAAGTATAATGAATTTTTCATTTTTTCTGTCCTGAGGGCACCTGGCACTTAAATACACCACTTGGTCTGAAGAAAAGGAAAAGACAGAACTTACCTAGTTTATATGTTAAGATTGCCAGGAATATTCTACACTCATCCTACTAGAACCCAGACTGGTACGACTTCCGTGGAACGAAAATTGTTCAAAATACGGCATCTGTTCTTCCATTTCCTCGGCTACGGAAGGTAGATGGCTCTGTGTATGAACGGGTGACAATGTGACAGACTCTCCGGTAAACGTGTCGTCAAAATATCGTGTATCTGTTTCTGACGTAACTTGAGGTTTAAATGGAGGTTGAATCTATAAAAAAAGAGACAGTACATCTTAAAATATACTTATTTTCGTGATTAGAGAGAATCAAATAAGTAGCTTAGTCTGTAGTAAGTTGGATTGTCGTCTGCTAGGACAGTGGAATAGCTCAGTCAGTAGAGAGTTGAATTGGTGTCTGCTAGGACAGTGGAATAGCTTAGTCAGTATTGAGTTAGATTGTCGTCTGCTGGGTCAGTGGAATAGCTTAGTCAGTAGTGAGTTAGATTGTCGTCTGCTGGGACAGTGGAATAACTCAGTCAGTAGAGAGTTGAATTGGTGTCTGCTAGGACAGTGGAATAGCTCAGTCAGTAGTGAGTTGGATTGTCGTCTGCTAGGACAGTGGAATAGCTCAGTCTGTATTGAGTTGGATTGTCGTCTGCTAGGACAGTGGAATAGCTCAGTCAGTAGTGAGTTGGATTGTCGTCTGCTAGGACAGTGGAATAGCTCAGTCTGTATTGAGTTGGATTGTCGTCTGCTAGGACAGTGGAATAGCTCAGTCTGTATTGAGTTGGATTGTCGTCTGCTAGGACAGTGGAATAGCTCAGTCAGTAGCGAGTTAGATTGTCGTCTGCTAGGACAGTGGAATAGCTCAGTCAGTAGCGAGTTGGATTGTCGTCTGCTAGGACAGTGGAATAGCTCAGTCAGTAGCGAGTTAGATTGTCGTCTGCTAGGACAGTGGAATAGCTCAGTCAGTAGTGAGTTAGATTGTCGTCTGCTAGGACAGTGGAATAGCTCAGTCAGTAGTGAGTTGGATTGTCGTCTGCTAGGACAGTGGAATAGCTCAGTCAGTAGTGAGTTGGATTGTTGTCTGCTAGGACAGTGGAATAGCTGAGTCGGTAGCAAGATGGATTGTCGACTGCTAGGACAGTGGAATAGCTCAGTCTGTATTGAGTTGGATTGTCGACTGCTAGGACAGTGGAATAGCTCAGTCAGTAGCGAGTTAGATTGTCGTCTGCTAGGACAGTGGAGTAACTCAGTCAGTAGTGAGTTAGATTGTCGTCTGCTAGGACAGTGGAATAGCTCAGTCAGTAGCGAGTTAGATTGTCGACTGCTGGGACAGTGGAATAGCTCAGTCAGTAGTGAGTTGGATTGTCGTCTGCTAGGACAGTGGAGTAACTCAGTCAGTAGTGAGTTGGATTGTCGACTGCTAGGACAGTGGAATAGCTCAGTCAGTAGCGAGTTAGATTGTCGTCTGCAGGACGATTGGTGCCATTGGAATCCTCCTCAAGAAATATAGTTTTCTGATGCCACATCCAGTGCTTCTGTGAGTCAGTCTGGTGTCAAATTTCAACTTACCTTTTTGTCATACAGATCTTGCCAATTTAAGGAGACAAAAAAGGGATGAGCCATTATTTCTTGAACGTCTTTTTCACTTCCACCAAGTCTAAAATAAAATACTACATTTTAAAAATCAATATGGGACAACCATAAACTAAGAAACTTTGGATTTTTATGTTTTAAAAGCCAAACATTAGCAAAAACAAAATATTTAAAAACTTCATTGGTTATGTGAGTCAAAGAAAGGGTAGCCATGGTAACAAAGCTAAAGTTATTTCTAAATTTCAGTTTTGATAATATATATCAGTCACTTTTCTCCTTGTGATTTCAATTCTATAATACAATGTCTTTTTGGGTATTTCACTTAACAATAAATGAAATGAATGAGTTTTACATCCTATGTTTCTATTAGGACTAATGAAGACAAGCAACACCATGCATTGAACAATGAGAGAAATTTTGTCAGGACAGCAGCATTGGCCTACTCTTATTTTGCTTTCCAACTGTTGAGAGATCTTTAACGTGCACAGCCTGTAGCACACAAGCCCTTGGTTTATTTCCCATCCGAATGACAAGACCCTTTTTCCATGACAGCCTCACCTACCTCTGACAAACAAGGAATAGTGATTATGATAAAGACTTTAACATAAAACCAACTGACCTGTCTTTAGGAGATTTTACTAATAAACCACTCAATAATAATTTGGCCTCCTCTGATAGATTACGTGGGAATTTCACATTTTGTAATAAAATTAATTCAAATAGTACGTCATGATCACGATTATAGAACGGCAGACGTCCACACATCATCTCATACATAACTACACCCGTTCCCCACCAATCAACAGCTCTACCATAGTCATTGTCTTCTAATACCTACAGAACATCCATAAAACATATCAGCCAAAACATAGTTAATAGAATACTACCTCTTAGAATGAATATCAAATTTAAATTCTTTCTCCAACTTGATCAATAAGACTATATATTCAGAGAATCAAAACAACATACTGGCTAAACATTGGTAGCAGTTAATGAATTTCACATGAGGAAGTATATCAATCATAAATGAGTAAGTATGTCATAATGAAAAGTGGTATCAGGTGTCTAGAAGAGTAAATATAATGTACCTACCTCTGGAGCTAAATATTCAGGTGTACCACAGAATGTGTTGGTACTGGCCCCAAAAAACATCTCTTCCTTACATAACCCAAAATCTGCTATTTTTATATGACCATCTTTATCTAATAGGAGATTCTCTAACTGTAATCACAAAATATATCAAGTCAACCCTAAAAATATCATGTCAACCCCAAAAATATCATGTCAACCCCAAAAATATCAAGACAACCCCAAAAATATCATGTCAACCCCAAAAATATCATGTCAACCCCAAAAATATATCATGTCAACCCCAAAAATATCATGTCAACCCCACAAAACATTATTTCAAACCCAAAAACAGCATTATTACAAAACCAAAGATTGTTCTTCAATATATATAAATATATAAATATACCTGATATCAATATCTAGAGTTTTTGAAGATTTTGATGTTGAAATATATAATTTATAAAATATCATCCCTACCTTTAAGTCTCTATAAACAATATCATTTTGATGTAAATATCCTAACGCTGAGATAATTTCAGCTCCGTAAAAACGTGTTCTATCTTCAGAAAATACTCGTTCTCGAGATAAATGGAAAAATAATTCTCCTCCATTTACATATTCCATGACAAAACACAATCTATCAGCTGTTTGGAATGAATACTTTAATTGCTGTAAATATAAATAATAATATTTAGAGTTCAGGGCCTTGTTCTTTAAAAAATCTTTAATAATAAGATGTAAATGCCTAATTTAATTGAGAGATGAGCTGTTTAATAACAGTCAAATTTTTTTAAGAGTGTTATTAAGTTGAAAAATCTGGCTCTATTTCAGCCTCTTATAACTAATCCCCATAAAACAGAGCCTAGTTTTTCTGACTCTACTCTGGCCGACATCTGTCAAAATATCTATCAGAGGCTGGAATAGAGGTAGATGTTTTGGCTATCAGAGGCTGGAATAGAGGTAGATGTTTCGGTGTAAAATTATATGACAGGCTTGAAAACAATGTAGAAATGTCACTGCTGTTTTTCTGAAAGTAGCTGTAAGATATCTATCAAACTAGTAAAACTTACTGTTAAAAATGGATGTTTGGTGTGTTGTAAAACTCGGTTTTCTGTTAACGTGTGGGCTACTTCATCCTAGAATATAACATAACAAGTTTATCAAGAATTTAGGTGAGATAAAGAATTTTATACAAACTGCTGTGTTAAAAGGGCATTATGCAAAATTATCATTATCAAAAACATCGTAAATTATACCTGAAAATATTGCTAAAGTATGTTATTTATATCTATGTATTTACTTGATCAAACTGAATTTGTTTTAAAAGGGTTAATTAAAAACAGAGAGTTCTGTATTTTTTCTAATAAATATATTCAGATACGTCAAGGGACAAATCTCTCTAAATTTTGGTGTATAGTTTTCTACAAAATATAACCGGAATGCCCCTTTAATACTGTCTAAATCAAAGTTTCATAACAATATTAACAAAGGCTTTAGTGGACACTAACAGCAAACACAGCCAAACAACAGCTCTGATGTAACTCAAGAGACTTGATAATCTAACTAAAATCGATCAGAATGATCATCCAGTCTTACCTTAGCTATAATAACAGCTTTTTTTAATATTTTAATAGCATAAAGTTGACTGGTAGATTTTTCTTTACATAAAATAACTTTACCAAACGTTCCTTTACCTAATACTTTTAAAAACTCAAAATCTTCCAGAGACTGAAAAATTATACAAAAATAGAAATATTCAAAATATAAAAACATTAATAATCTTTTTAAAATATTCAATTCAGTCAGAAGGGAAACTGTCAAAATTGTAGACAAATTAACACAAAGAGAATATGTGAATAACATGAACAATAACATCTTACTTTTCTGCACTTAGTTTGACTAATTAATACGAGTGAAGCCATGCAGTAAAATTTTTCCAGGACAGTGGCATTAGTAATTTATTTTTTCAATTTCCAACTGTTGAGGGATTTTAACAAGCACAACCTGTAGCACACTGGGCCTCCGTTCTATCCACAAAATAGAATATATAAGAATTTGTTCCATTGATTACAAATGACTTGGTGTTTTGCCTCAAGTTGTTAATTGTCATTAGACTCTCCTTACTTCAAATAAAACAGATATACATCATACCTTTTTCTTGCCCCGTTCAGCAGGACCACACGCTTCATCCTCATCTACTTTCAATGTTTCTGATACTGACTTGATAGCTTGTATCCATTCCTCTCTATAATAAAATGTCAATGTGCCCTATACCATCAACTTTTAGAGATTTTCAGAGAAAACTTCCTCAAAAACTTAACTTAAGTAAAATGCAGACTTTAAGAAATACAGTAATCTGATTGGTTGATAAACCTATATGATTTAAAAACAATTTTATAGATTGACCAATCATATTACTGATAAACTAAAATCAATTTAAGATTTCAAGATAATTTTTGAACGAATGAAGAATGCAGAGTCTATAAATACAACATTTTCCTACCTTTCTTCTGGTGTGTCTACACAGAACATCCTCTCTACCACAGTGGTCCATTGTAACCCTCTTATAATAAACGTATTAGACTTCGGTCGTTCTAGTTTCATCAACTGACAATCTGAAACACACAGAGTTATTGCCCTTGATTTCTAATATATTCAATCAGAACTGCACTAAAGCGGCATTGGAATAGTTGGTGTTAGATGGTGATGAGAACATAGTCGTTGGTGTTAGGATGTTACGAGTGAAGGAGAGTTCTGACAAGTTGGTGTTAGAAGAGTTAGTCAAAAAATTTTGATGTCACTGCCAGTGCTTCTGAAAGTCATCCTGTGGGATTTCAACCCTTAACACAAAAAACATAAAAGGATGCATAATACATTAGTAGGCTACATATTTAATATTTTTACCGGCTTTCAATAGACAGATTCTACATGTTTATCATTGTTTTGTAAAAGTAAATCATGTCTATATACTTGGAAGTAATAAGTATAGTCAACCAGTCTTTATACCAAATAGCACAAATGAAACGTGGCTCTGTACAAGGTTGGAAATGATGGTGTCATTATTTTACAAACAATTTTCCAGTGAAATAAGTTGTTATTAATTCTAACTCTATCAATAACTATCTACATGGATAAAGCAGCCATGAGTGTTTCTCTACAGCAAGACTATATAGTCAACTACCTAGCCATTGACTAATGATACACCAAAATAATTATAACACCACCCATTAGGACAGGACAGTTTGTGTGTCTTTACAGCAAGGCTATAGGTCTATTGTCCACTACTCACTAGACAGGACAGTGTTATGTCTGTTGATGACAGTTGACTCACTACAGCAAGACTTTATAATCATTGACTAAGACTACACCAATGAGCAGTCAATGACCAGCCGTCATCAGTCATAATAATAATCTATATTTACCACTACCATGTCAATAAACATGACCTTTATGGAGGTCAGACTGAACAACATGACCTGGGGTCAAGGTTGTAATATTTATTGCTTAGATTCAACTAGGAACTCATATAAATATTAATTGTAGTTATTAGTCCAGTCAAATTTTTATTACATATCCAGCGGCCTTATTCTGGAAAATTCAACAAAGATAAAACCCAGATTTTCAGAAATACAGTTGAGATAATAAAAGTAAATTTAAATTTGATTTTAGTGATTGACCAATCAGATAACTGGAACACTGAAATCATATAGAGTAAAATTTTCAAGAAGAAGGACCCTGGATTTAAGACATAAACCTGAGTTCTCTTATTTTGAAGGAGAATAAAAAGCGTTTGTAAACGGAAACCACATTTGTCCTGTTTTGTTATTTTCATAAAAAATATTTATACTCCTCCCAAACTAATTCAAAACATAAACAAAAAGATGACTGTGGCGTGGTGGCCGGTTGGGAAGGGGGAGGCACGTGCCCCACCAGTGACGGGAAATTAAGGGGCACCCAAGGTGTCCCATTTCTTCAAGAGGCATGCCAAAAGTGTCCCATTTCTTCAAAAGCCCTTTTATAACACGTGTCAGCGAAAATCCTCAGTTGGTACAGCAGCACCCCTTTCTAGCAGATCTATTTTTCTTTGTAACCTTGACCTGTACACAGGAGTTTTAGAAAATTTCTTCCCTACAAATACTTCCTCAATTAAAGTAGACAGCTTGTATTTTAAATCAGACCCATCGTATATACTCATAAATATAACATCTCAATTACACTTACCTTTTACTGTGAAGTCATTAAGGGGGTCACTGAGGTCCCCACCCTCAGGTTTGGCCCTGAACCCCAGGAACGATCCATCAGATCGTAAAATAAAATATCTCTTCCTCCAATTCTTTATGTGTTCTCCTGAAAATTAACAATTTTATATCATTCAAAATTTTACAAAACAAATAAATTGAGCTAATATCTAGGCCATTCTAAAAAGGAAAAGGTGTTTATAATTACAAAACAAATATGCTTTGATATGTAAAAGCATGTTGATTGGTCTATTATCAAATCATGTGACATTATGAATATTTATTATCTCTGTCCTCACACAAGGTTTACCTGATACAAAGAAGCACAGAAGAAAAAATATCAAGGTATTAGACAGGTTCAGTGAAACACGGTAGAAAATAGTTTCAGACTTTCGATTTGTTGAAGTTTATATCCCCTTTCTAATACTTCAATATTTTTCACTGTTAACATAGAGCTCAATCTGAATTATTATAGGAGAATACTATTGGGCTATCAATTTAAAAAAATACAGTTATAGTATAGGATATTCGGGTAAAGATATCATTTCATTTTTAAATTCCAAAAAAAAATAAAATAAAATTGGGCCGTTCAAAAAAAATTTTTTTTTAATGTCTTGCCCGAAAAACTAGCCTTCGGTGCTGCGAGGGGGGGCGGCTGTAAGGGGGGGCGGCTGCAAGGGGGGGGCGGCCATATCCTTTTTCAACTACAATAATAATATATTTTTCACTGTTTAAATACAGCTCAATCTGAGTAACAACAACCTGTTTTTTTAAATTCTGTTTTAATATTTCTAGGTTTTCTTCCATGATAAAAGTTCCAGTGTTTCTGATAATGAAGACACTAGATATAAAACAAGGAAGTGAAATATCAAGGTCAATGATAATAATGACATGTAAACATCTTTAGGTTATAGCTGACATGACAAATACCCTCCACCAACATCATGCTGATTATCAACTGAACTGACTAATAGCAAAATATGCTTTATCACATAAAGCCCTGCGCAATTAGTGACGTCATTAAACACTTAGCTTAGTGGAATTGCAGGAACCACAGACGTCTGATCGAATATAGGTGCTATCAGTGTCCCTGATATATATAAAAAATTTAGAAAACCTTTTACAATCACTTAAAGTGAGTAAAATTTATGCATTATATTGTATATTTGTGGTAAAATATTTATTATGACAGTCACATAGAATTATCTGGAACATTTAACACCATAAAGTACGATGAGAAAGATCTTTGTTATATTTTAACACAAGTTGAGAAAGTGTATCTCATTTTTCATCCTATTTGTGAGATTCTATACCACAGTCGGTCAGAGTGTTGGTTCTTTACATGACGTCATTTACTTGGTTACGTCCAGCAAATGGCGGCTGTGGGTTCAATTCTCTATCGGCGTATGAAAGTCCGATGACCTTAAATAAGTCATCGTCACTCGTCATTCCAGTCGACCCAGCTGTAAATGGGTACGGATAATCTGGGAAAGATCAATGTCAAGAGGTTTGGCCAAGGACCAGCTGGTAGAAAGGATCATTAACTGTGAACCTAAGTTGTTGTCCTTGTAAAATTGTCAAGGGGTTTGACCAAGGTCCAGCTGGTAGAAAGGATCCTTATTGTGAACCTAAGTTGTTATCCTTGTAAAATCAATACCAAGAGGTTTGACCAAGGACCAGCTGGAAGAAAGGATCCTTATTGTGAACCTAAGTTGTTATCCTTGTAAAATCAATACCAAGAGGTTTGACCAAGGACCAGCTGGTAGAAAGGATCCTTATTGTGAACCTAAGTTGTTATCCTTGTAAAATCAATACCAAGAGGTTTGACCAAGGACCAGCTGGAAGAAAGGATCCTTATTGTGAATCTAAGTTGTTATCCTTGTAAAAAATATAGTTGTTTTTTTATCTTTTTACAAGAGGTTTGATGTTTCATGCTCGATTGAAAATAGTTTCCGAAACATTCAGCAACATAAAAGGAGATGAGCTGTTGGCTATAGAAGATGATAGAAATACAGTAAGAGTATAAAAATATCTTGTTTATTTCTCAGGGCCATCTTGTGTTTTTACGAAGCATTTTGATCTCCTTGAAGTGGATGACGTTATTTCATCTAAGATATTCTTGCTAACTCGTTGCTTCTGGCCTTTCTGCTGAAAATTAGTCAAAAACCTAACTGGGTATTGATCTGAATAATTTCCTCAATAACAAATTCTCCCTTCCAGATAATCTTGACATTCCACTTTACTAGGTCAAAATATTACGAACTGTGTCTTATACCTTGACTGCAACATCTTCACAATGTCAAGCTATTACTAACTTCATCTTCACAATGTCAAGCTATTACCAACTTCATCTTCACAATGTCAGGCTATTATAAACTTCATCTTCACAATGTCAAGCTATTACCAACTTCATCTTCACAGTATCAAGCTATTACCAACTTCATCTTCACAATGTCAAGCTATTACTAACTTCATCTTCACAATGTCAAGCTATTACCAACTTCATCTTCACAATGTCAAGCTATTACAAACTTCATCTTCACAATGTCAAGCTATTATAAACTTCATCTTCACAATGTCAAGCTATTATAAACTTCATTTTCACAATGTCAAGCTATTACCAACTTCCTCTTCACAATGTCAAGCTATTATAAACTTCATCTTGACAATGTCAAGCTATTACAAACTTCATCTTCACAATGTCAAAATATTAGAGACTTATAACTTGACTATAATTATAGTCACCTTTCTTTTATCACTGAATGCAGCGATTTGATTTGATTGTACGTTAGTGAATACAGCCAATCAGAGGCCTCAACAGGTTCTGTTTTAATATTTCTGAAGTTCTAATCCTCACCCTCTGTAAACTGGTTTACTGTCAGTCCAGTGGGAAGGTGGTATAGAGAAATTTGATTATAAATAAAACAATCTGGATTGATAGTAAACATTGAAAAAAATAATATTTGATAAATTGAACAGCTTACCTCTCTTTGAGAGAAACCCTTCTTTTACCACAGTTAAAGATTCATCAGTGTTCATCGCCGAATTCCAGTCCTACAATATAAACATCAATATATCAATCAATAGAAGTTAAGTCTCCATTGTAAATATCTATAGAAGTTAAGTCTCCATTGTAAATATCTATAGAAGTTAAGTCTCCATTGTAAATATCTATAGAAGTTAAGTCTCCATTGTAAATATCTACTGTCTAGACAGACTTATATAAGCTTTATGCTTGTCTCTGGATCACTGAATGCATTTTTAGTTTGTAAATTGTTTTTGAAATAAATACTGTTTAAACCAAGTTGATTCTCCTGAAAAAAACACAAGATGTCCTTCAGCTATTTAGTTCTCTATAGCTAATATTTCACCAATCAATAATGAATTTTCTATCGTTAGTTTTTCAGAATTTTCACCATGGTGACAAAAGACAAATTTGGCAAAACTGACTCTAACTGTGACGATATCTCGTTCCAATATTACATCGGAGGAACAGGTAGAGCCAGATTTTTTTGGACTAAGTTTCAATATATTCACTAAACATCCACTGACAAACTCTATGCAATAACAAAATATTTATATATTTGTCTGTAGAGCGATATAAAACTAACAATATCACATCCGTATATCACGTTTGAAAACAAGGTAGAGCCAGATTTATCTGACTAAGTTTCAATATATATATACACTATCTAAACATCCACTAAATAACACCATACAATAAGTAATATTTCAGCTGTTTTAATAGTGTATCAGTTGTAGAGGAATACTGTATACAACTTTGACAATATCACATTGGAAGAACAGGTAAAGTCAGATTTAGCTAAGTTTCAATAAATACTATCAAGACTAGCTGTTTTTATAGTGTATCAGATGTATGTAGAGTGATATTTAAACTAATTCTCTCCAATGAACATCTCCTGATGGATTATCTTGAATCATAGTTTCTGATTCATTCTATATTATATCCCAGTCTAATATTCTTAATTCAATATGTCAATCAAAATAAAACATTCTTCTCTAATGACCATACTGACAAAATATGTCACTTTGTATAGAAGTTATAATATTCTCTTTACCAGCAGACAGAGGTTAATTAAAACATTATATAACCATCTTAATATTCTCTTTACCAGCTGATAGAGGTTAATTAAAACATTATATAACCATCTTAATATTCTCTTTACCAGCTGACAGAGGTTAATTAAAACATTATATAACCATCTTAATATTCTCTTTACCAGCTGATAGAGGTTAATTAAAACATTATATAATTCTCTTTACCAGCTGACAGAGGTTAATTAAAACATTATATAACCATCTTAATATTCTCTTTACCAGCTGACAGAGGTTAATTAAAACATTATATAACCATCTTAATATTCTCTTTACCAGCTGACAGAGGTTAATTAAAACATCATATAACCATCTTAATATTCTCTTTACCAGCTGATAGAGGTTAATTAAAACATTATATAACCATCTTAATATTCTCTTTACCAGCTGACAGAGGTTAATTAAAACATTATATAACCATCTTAATATTCTCTTTACCAGCTGATAGAGGTTAATTAAAACATTATATAACCATCTTAATATTCTCTTTACCAGCAGATAGAGGTTAATTAAAACATTATATAACCATCTTAATATTCTCTTTACCAGCTGATAGAGGTTAATTAAAACATTATATAACCATCTTAATATTCTCTTTACCAGCTGACAGAGGTTAATTAAAACATTATATAACCATCTTAATATTCTCTTTACCAGCAGATAGAGGTTAATTAAAACATTATATAACCATCTTAATATTCTCCTTACCAGCAGATAGAGGTTAATTAAAACATTATATAACCATCTTAATATTCTCTTTACCAGCAGATAGAGGTTAATTAAAACATTATATAACCATCTTAATATTCTCTTTACCAGCAGATAGAGGTTAATTAAAACATTATATAACCATCTTAATATTCTCTTTACCAGCAGATAGAGGTTAATTAAAACATTATATAACCATCTTAATATTCTCTTTACCAGCAGATAGAGGTTAATTAAAACATTATATAACCATCTTAATATTCTCTAAACAACTAAATGTTTTTCTTTACCGGAGTTTTTATTGTATTGCTTTTTTACAAGAAAGACCTCAAGTTTGTTCACAATTTTTTCATGAAATATAAGCTTACTGCCATTCAATGTTTTTATTGTCTAAGATATGTGTAAGCCATTACATATTAAACTTAAGAGGATTGTAAAAAGATTTTCTAAATGAATCAGAGACAATGATAGCATCAATCAGATGTCTGTGGTTCCTGCAATTCCACTAAAACTAAGTGTTTGATGACATTAGCGAAGGGCCTAATGTGATAAAAGCATATTTTGCAATTAGTGATGTCAACAACTCTTGGGGCGGTATGCAGTGCTCTTACCCTGACTAAAGTTGAACTTTGGCTAAAGTCGAACTTTACAAAGTTAAGATTAAGGCTTTCATTTTCTACATTTGATAATCAAATTTAAGCACGACTTTAAGATCGACTTAAGTCTAACTTTAGTCAAAATTTAGGTAAAGTACGAGCACTGTATATGGCCCTTAGTGTTAGTAGAATTGCAGATACCACAGACATCTGACTAAATATTGGAATGGTGTAAATAATGCTATCAGTGTCCCTGAACACAAATATATTTAAGAAAACAAGTACGGTAACAAGATTAGTTTGTGTTATTTTGAGAGAATAACAATAGAATATTTTTCTAGGTTAAGAGTAGAATAATGATATCACAAATAAACAAATAAACAAATAAACAAACTACTAAACAAAAACAACAACAATAATATCTTTTTACTGAAAAGAATAATTAAAGGAGAATGACTCGCCAACAAATCACAGTGATTAAAAAAACTGGAGACTTCATTTAGCTAATTGATATTTTCTATAAATCACCAGGAAATTACCAGATGAACGAACTGTTGTTTTAAAATCTATTTGTGATAGAGAATTTTCAAGGTCGAGAAGATCAGCTGCAGTGAATTTCTATCATCAATCTTTATGTTAAATCTAGATTTTAAGAAATAAAGACGTTTGATTGGATAATAAAGTAAGATTTAAAATTGATTTGATAGCCGACTAATCAGATGACTGGACTATAGTACCATTAAAGGGATTGTAAAGAGATTTTTGTTGTTGATTTTTTGTCCTCATTCAAACAATCTTCCTTTGCTAGCTTGTCATAAACATTGTTAAACTGATTGTAAAGAGGTTTTCTAAATTTTATACGTATATCAGCAACACTGATAGCATCAATTTACACCAGTCTAATTTTCTATCTGAGGTCTTTGATTCTTCCATTTCCACTCAAACTATTCACTGTATGACATCACTATGGCAATGGTTCTTATATCAATAGCAGCTTTAGAGATAGTGATGTCATCAAACACTTAGTTTTAGTGGAATTGAAAAAACTCACAGACAGCTGACTGGAAATTAGAATGATGTAAATTGATGCTATCAGTGTCCCTGATACACATAAAAAATTTAGAAAACCTCTTTACAATCTCTTTAACAAGAACCACAGACGTCAGATTGAAAATTAGAATGGTGTAAATTGATGCTATCAGTGTCCCTGATACACTTAAAAAATTTACAAAACAATCTCTTTAATTTTCATTGAAACAAACTATTGATCTATAGTGACATATTGTTTTGTAGTAAATTCGTATATTTTGAAACCAATCTCTATAAATCACTGGCTATAAGTTTAGTCAATGAAGAATAAAGTAGGTTTATCATGTTTTTCTCTCACTGGCGTAAACAGTCACCATTTATCTTTCATCTTATATAATAAAACAACATTCATACATTTACTTTGTTTACAGTTCTGCAGATGAACATTTTTTTTTTTGGAAAGGAGAGATACACTTTTTAGCAAACTGGATTCCACTCAATGACTGATTTGTTAGAGAATCCACGTTGATTTCATGCTTATTTTGTATTGGGTGTTATAGAAGATTCTCTGTATAGAAACACTGGCCTAGGTCACAAGTGTTAGGTGTTTGGGAGATACTCTGTATAGAAACACTGGCCTAGGTCACAAGTGTTAGGTGTTTGGGAGATTCTCTGTATAGAAACACTGGCCTAGGTCACAAGTGTTAGGTGTTTGGGAGATACTCTGTATAGAAACACTGGCCTAGGTCACAAGTGTTAGGTGTTTGGGAGATACTCTGTATAGAAACACTGGCCTAGGTCACAAGTGTTAGGTGTTTGGGAGATTCTCTGTATAGAAACACTGGCCTAGGTCACAAGTGTTAGGTGTTTGGGAGATACTCTGTATAGAAACACTGGCCTAGGTCACAAGTGTTAGGTGTTTGGGAGATTCTCTGTATAGAAACACTGGCCTAGATCACAAGTGTTAGATACTGTTCTATAGAAGCACTGGCCAAGATCATATCTTTTACATAATTATCTTTTATCAATTTCAGTAATAAAGATTAAATTTGGTAAACTTATATTTCTTGTGGTTCAAGATAGCCTTTAACTCTTTTGTGACTAATTTTATCTAATTTACAGATAATCTGTTTCCCTGTTTCCGAAAAGATCCTGTAACTTCAATATTATAGTATAGGCTGTTTATTTTCTGCTAATATTGTTAATTCTAAAATAAGTTATAAACTAGCTATTTCATCCTTATTAATTTCAGATGACCAGATCTGTTTCAGAAAGGTGGTATGATTTCAATGCATGTTGTTTGTTATTTATTCTACAATATAAGTAAGAAGATAATGACCTGTATTGACCTGTGTTGACCAGGTATTACACTTGATAATTACTATGTTTTATAATATACTGAAGTGTTGAGAAAACCTCTTATATAATTCTCTATATCTATATCTCAAAAACACAGGTGTATTATAGCCATTTTTACAATGTCAAGCTATTAAGAACTGTGTCTCATACCTTGACTGCAATAGCCAAAGTGTTTGATAGAGTCAATAATTGCGAAATATTCTTGTAAATGCATCATATAAGGCCTATATGATTAGTGATGTCATCAAACACTTTGTTTTCGTGGAATTGCAGGACACTAAGAGGTCCAATTGAAATCTGGCATGGGGCAAATTGATGCTGTCAGTGAACACAATATCCATGAATGTTTTCTAATTTTTTTTCCTTTACTATCCCTTTAAGCTGTTCGTGTCCTGTTAGTTATATTTAACAATGTTTTAATTTAATTATCATATTACATTAATATCTAATATAATTTATTTTTCTATGTTTATATACATCTTTATCACTAGAATACTAATATCTTAATTTATTAAACTTTATAGCTTCTATCATGACTTAATGTACATAAACATTCAGTCTACTGATATAAAAATATAATTTATACTATAGATCTCTAGAACTTTACTACA